CCGCCGAGAAACCCCCCTCACCCCCTCCTCCACCGTCCGAACCTCCACCTCCCCCTCCTCCATCTAAACCGCCATCGCGCACCGCGTCGCGGCCGCTGTCTCCGGTCAAGCGGCACGCCGACCACTTCGCCCACTACAAGCCCCCCGCGTGCGTCAAGAGACGGCCCGGAATCGGCAACTACCTTTACATCAAGGACCCTGCGACTGGCCAGCGCGTCAAGCGCTTCGACGGCGTGCACAATGGTGTCGAAGCAAAGGTCACTGACCCGCGCCTTCAAATTCCGAAGGAGGTGCGGGAAAGGGGTCAAGGTTACATGAAGAACAGGTCCAAGGGCGTCGAAGAGCTTCATTACGAGGTGAGTCACCGGACGTCCCATCTATTGTGTTCGCTAACCGTTATCAGTGGGACGAGAACTCACCCGGCCCGAAGCCGCCCCCGCCCCCGACCGCCATCCTTATCACTGGTCTGAGCCCACTTACGACTGTCGACCAGATCAGCAAGTTCTTCCGCGCCCATGGCCGCATCAAGGAGATCGATTCCAAGATGGACCCCAAAACCGGTATGCAGCTCGGCATTTGTTGGCTGTCGTTCGAGGGGCCTCTACCTGGCCGACCAGGGAGTGCCCACGACGTCGCCATGCACGTTGTTCGAACCTGTTCCGGCCAGCGTGTGGGTCTCACCGGCAACGAGCGCGTGACGGTCGTGCTGGATGGACGAGGCGTACGAGTTAAAGCGGCCGTCAAGGAGGAGATGGAGCGCAGGAACAAGCCGAAGCCAAAGCCGCCCGCGCCTGCGCAAGTCGCCCCGACACCGAAGGCTCCTCCGTCCGGTCCGAAGGCATCGACTCCGAGCGAAGGTCGCGAGACGCCCAAGCCTAGTTTCGCGGACGGTCCTGGCCCTCGCTTCCAAGGCCTCGGATCCATGCGAGGCCGTCCTGCACCGCCGCTCGGAGGTCGCTTCGGTACGCTCAATCGCTCCATGCCCGTTGGACGATTCCAGCCGCCTCTGCGTGGCGCGCAAGACTTCAGCCGAGATTTCCGCATGGCACCGGACGGGCGTCGGGGTGCGTTCCAGCAGGATTTCAGCGGTGCGTTCCAGCAAGACTTCAGCCGAGACTTCCGGGGCGGAGGTGCGTCAGCCCGCCGAGGTGACCGATACTCCCCTTCACCGTCCAGATCGCGTTCCAGGTCCCGCTCCGTCTCCTCGTACTCCTCCGACTCGGACGATGACAGGCCATCGTACCGCAAGCGCCGCTCGCCGTCACCGAACCGACGCACGACTGTCAAAACTGCACCAGCGGAGGCGGATGAAGCCGGCGTCGAGCGTGTCAAGAAGGCGATCACCGACAACGGCCGAGCGTACGTGTTCATCGATATCAAGTCGCTGCCATACGGTCAGGTCCGCGACGAGCACGTTCAAAACCACTTCCGCGCTTTTAAGCCCGATGCTGTTTTGCACAACCACACCGGCTGGTACATCCTGTTCGGGGACGACCAGACTGCTCACCGCGCCAAGCTCATGGACAAGACGGCCATCCTCTCGCATCGCATCAATGTTGAGGTCAAGCAGCCGACGGCCAAGGCGGGTGAGGGCGGTGTTACGACCGCGATGCCCGAGAAGGGCGGCTGGAAGTTCCTCACGTTCACGAAGAAGCGGCCGTCGGCGATGCCCGTCAAGAAGCGTGCGCCGAGCCCCAAGCCAAAACCAAAACCGCACCGTCGGCGCTCCTTCTCGTACTCGTCAAGCAGCGACGAGGACGAAATGGTGGCTGCTCCCAAGGTCGTGCCTTCGAAGCGCATCATCGAGAGCGACGAGGAGGATGAGGCCAAGCCGGAAGTCAAGCCGAAGAAGAAGCTTGCCAAGAAGGAGCCGGTCTCGAAGGACAAGAAGGTCGCCAAGAAGAAGGTCGTCACCGACGATGTTGACGTCTCGATGTCGGAGCCAACGACGCCTGCCGTTGCCGAGATCCAGCTCGAGAAGCCCGCCGAGAAGAAGCCTCCTCCAAAGCCGAAAGCGGCGCCCAAGAAGGTCTCTGCTGTCGAAAAGCTCGTCAAGGCGGGCACGATCGAGGACGACGAGGACGCATATTGGCTCGCGCAGGCGCTTTCTCTGCCTGAGGATGCGGACACGGAGGCCATGTCGGATGCCGAGCCAGAGTTACCCGAAGACCACCCGCTGCACCACGCCAGTGGTGCATGGCGCGCTGAGGGTATCCGCAATGTCGCTCCGATCCTCAAGTCGACCTACCTGCCGCAGCGAAACCGTGCCGCTGGCGCCGATGCGGCGGGGGGAACAGCCGGTGCTTCTGGTCGAACGGCCCGTATTGCCGGTCGCCGTCTGGCACAGGACATCGAGACGAACCGCAAGGCTGGTGGTGGTACCGCGACCGCGGCCGAGAGCGACTTATTCATGTTCAACCAGCTGCGTATCCGCAAGAAGCAGCTGCGCTTCGCGCGCTCCGCCATCGAAGGCTACGGCCTGTATGCGATGGAGACGATTCAACCTGGCGAGATGGTGTGCGAGTACGTCGGCGAGCTGTGCCGCTCCTCGGTCGCAGATGTGCGCGAGCAGCGCTACACGAAGCAGGGTATCGGCAGTTCGTACCTGTTCCGCATCGACGGCGACATCGTGTGCGACGCGACGTTCAAGGGCAGCGTCAGTCGTCTCATCAACCACAGCTGCAACCCGACGGCGAACGCAAAGATCATCAACATCAACGGACACAACAAGATTGTCATCTACGCGAAGCGCACGCTGTACCCCGGCGACGAAGTTACGTACAGCTACAACTTCCCACTCGAGCAGGACGAGAGCCTCCGCGTGCGGTGTCTCTGTGGAGAGCCGACGTGTCTTGGTTTCCTCAACTAAGGACGAGACGAGGTGTGTATGGGGATGGAAGAAGTGCAGCGATCAGCGACGAGTATGTACGCAACATGTACTACACACACACACACATCATCACACAGCAACAGTTTCTACTTTCTCTTCTTATTCCGATCCGTTTCTGTATGCATTACGTGGACCATGCCCTGACACTCACTACACTGACGACCCGGAGACAACAGACTAATGCATAGGAAGCGATGTATACACAAGAACCCAAAATGAAAGTAACAACAACAGATCAACTGTTTACCGCCGACACATACACTACGTCGCGAGGCCCTGTAACTCTCGCCGAGCACTCTCGACAACCCGACACAGCGTATCCCTATCACACGGCTTGGTGAGCCATCCGTCAAAGCCGCACTCGACGAGTCCTCTCCTCTTCTCATTCTGCCCCGCAAGCGCAGTAACGGCGAATATCTTGCTGGGCCCTCTCTTGCGTCCAAGCCCAGCACGCAGCTTCTCCCTCTCGCGCTCGATGGCGCGCATCTCGCTCGCCGTCGCCCACCCATCGAGCACCGGCATATTGATATCGAGCAACACGATGATGGGCCTACGCCGGCTCAGGTCGCGGAACATGTCGAGTGCGACTTTGCCGTTTGTGGCCTCGGCGAGCTCGCACTCCTTCCCCAGCGCTTGGCGGAGGATCTTGACCAGGATCTTGCGGTTGATCACATTGTCCTCTACGACAAGGACGGAGGTGACTTCCGCCGGCGGGGGCAGGGCGGGGTCCTCGTCGCCTTCGAACAAGGGGCTGTACTCCGGTATGAGGTACCGGGTCGCAGGTGAGGGGGACGAGTGGCTGCTCGGCGGGCTCGGAGGTGTGGCAGCCGTACCGGAGGTAGAGGACGCAGACGTTCGGGCCGAGGACGGAACAGAGGACGAGGAAGCAGTCGGAGGCGGCGGACGTGCACTGCGACGTGACGAGAAGTAGTCTCCCAAGCACAGCGCGGCGATGCTCTCCGCTACATTCTTCGGTCGCCAGCCGTCCTCCGTGACGATCTCAGGTACCGGCGTCAGCTCCGCCGCCGCGCTCGCGGCGCTGTGCGCGAGGGCCGCAGGCGTGAGAGGCTCCTTCAGGACGCGCACGGTGCGTCCGGGCGGGTCCTGCGACAGCATTGCGATCGTGTTTGCAAACGGCGCGGCATCCTCGCCTACGAACAGGACCAGATCTGCAGGCATGGCCGACAGCATCGCCATGCCCTCCGGCGTCAGCGCCAGCGTACCCTCGACAACGACGAGGTCCGCGTCCTTGGGGTCGGCGACGACGCTGTGCCCGAGCTTCCTATACGTGCGCTCGAGCATGGAGCCGATCCGCTTCAGCGCGCAATGCGGGTCGTGGAAGCGCGTGAAGCCTTGCACGGCGATCTGCCTCGGCTCGTCCCGTTCCGCCAGGCTCGGTGCCGGCGCTGGCAACTGCGCCATCGGAAGTGGCACCTCGATGCTAACGCTGCAGCCTTTGCCTGGCGCGGACGAGATCTCCATGTATCCACCCATAAGCTCGATAATGCGGTATGCGAGATGCACACTGAGCCCTGAGCCGGTCGCATATGGATCTTCCTTGGCCCAGGGCTCGCCAAGACGCTCCTTCACAAAGTCGGTCGACATGCCGCGGCCAGAATCGATGATCTTAAGCGATACGCGGCGCTCGGAAGGTTGCAACACTTCGCAACCCTCTGGCGGGAGGAGGGAATGCACGTCGTCGAGATAGACCTCGACGCAGCCCCCGACATCGAGGTAGCGGTACGCGTTTGCCAGGATACGCTGAAGCGCACGGCGCAGAGCACCGCCCTCATCCTCCATGACTGTATCGCCTAGACCCAGGGGGATGATCTCGAGAATCGTGCTCTTCGTGACGCCTCTGATGGGGGTGCCGGGTGTGACACCGCCGCCGGCTGCGCCGCCCTCGAGGGACGAGCGCGAGAGCCTGTCCGCCTCGTATGCGTCGCGGATGAGCTCCTCCAGCAGCGCACCGATGGTGAGTGGCGTTCGTCCGCCGTTTCCGCCGAGAGACTTGAGTTCACCGCCGGCACCGCCAGTCCGCTCGTCCTTGTCGGTCAGGTCGAGGAAAGTGAGGATATTGTCCACGATGCCGTGCAGGATCTTGCCGCTCGTGTCGATGGCATCGAGGAAGGGGAGCAGGTCGCGCACCTGCTGCAGTGTCGAGGTGACTACTCGCTCTGGCAGGGCCTTCACCGGCCAGCTAAGCGCCAGGTCGGCTGTGGCATCCGGCGCAGAGGGGTCAGAACCGCCAGCACTCTCATCAGCAGCCGCCATGTCCCGCATGGAAGATCGGAGAAGCTGCGTGATAGCCAGGATCTGGTGCAGGGGCGTGCGCAGCTCGTGCGCCTGCAAGTTCGAGTAGGAGATTTGGCTCTCCTCGATACCGCGCATGCGCACGACTGCCATACTGCTGACTAGAGCGGCACCGACGATATACACGAACGGCATCGCCAGGCGGGACGTGTCGTCGAACGAGGCCGGAGCTCTGTCCCACGCTACGAATACCGCGAATTGGAGCGTTCCATTGTACGCCAGGAACACATTGGCGAGTACCGTCTGCGTCCCCGCAGGCATGAGCAGGAGGAGCTGAGAGGCCAGCGAGTCGGACATGTCCTCTCGGTCCCACCAGAAACGTCGTTGACGGAGGTACGCCGAAACGTACTCCGCTAACGTGGTCGCGGCGCCCCTGGATTCGAAAGCGAAGTCATTGCCAGAGGAACCGAGTATGCTGACAGCAGAGCGACGAGCATTCACAACTGGTTCCGTCCAGTCGGCCCAAGGCTCACCGCTCAGGAAGGAGCGGATGATATTCTCCTTCGTCGATCCTGGAGATCCCTCAGCGCCGCCAGTCGCCACCTCCGTGCCGGCCGTGCTGCCTCGCGTCTTCCGGATGAAAAGCTGATAGTCGCTGAGGTCGACTATGCACGCAGCATTCGCACCAAGGACTCCGCGGAGGGTCGTGCAGGCGTCGGCAAACATGGCAGTTTCGGTCTCGCTGTGGCGCTTCAACTTGTATCCGTCGCGCGGGCCGGACTTCGTCTCGAGCGGCTCACCGGTGGACACCTCACGAGGTGAGGTGCGGCCGCTGAGCGATGGGCGCTGCGAGACGATCGGCACCAGCGGCGGAGTCGAGTGCCGCCTGCTACTCTGTGTCGAGCCGCGCTTCTCTGGCGGTCTACGCCTCGGCCGCTTCGCTTCCGAGGACCGCTCAGTTGGTGACTTGGTCGTATCCGAGTGGTTGTCATGAACGTCGGGCACGAGAGAGCGGCGAAGGAAGCCAATGCTCGCCTCGTACATGCCGCTAGAGCGCTTCGCCATGCGCTCGCTCTGCAGCGTGGCGAGCTGGTACACGCACATGTTCGCGAGGCGAAGGAGAATGTTCTGTTCGCGTTCATCGAAACTGTCCCGCGGTTCTGGATCGAACACCACGAGCGAGCCAAAGTCGGCGTAGTCTCCATTGCTGTGGAAGTAGCGCAGCGGAGCGGCGGCCATGAAACGTGTCTTGCGCTCGCCGATACGGGACGGGTGTTGGGCAAACCGCCAGTCCTTGTCCAGGTCGGCTACGACGAAGCATTTCTCACTCGGGGTCAATACTGCATGGGCGATGAGGGAAGACGAGAGAGGGAAGGTGATCTTGTGCTGCTTATAGTTGGGCAGATAGACTTCTTCGATGTCACCACGTAAGACACACACAAAGCCATACTTCGCCTGGAAGATCTGCATCTCGTCAGTCACATGTCGTCTGAGGCGCAAGGCTTGTGGCGTCCGCAGCACCTCTGTGCACATTTGTGGGTGCTCACCATGGCTGCCGTTTCGGCGTATTTCGCGATAACCGCGTAGCGCTCGTCGTCGCATCCTGTCAGCCCAAGACGTCTGATGGCGGTAGCACGTGCGAGGCGCGTCGCCTGGCTTGGATTTGGGGCAGGGAGCCAGCCCTCGTCCTCGAAGATGCCGCGGAGGCGCAGGCGCTCAGCGCCCATGCACAGGTGTCCGGGGTCCTCGTCCACGTTTATGGGGCGAGGGAGCCCATCGCGTTCCGGCACAGGATAGGGGTAGTTCAAAGCCGGACCGGGCGTACGTGTGAAGCTGGCTAGTCGCGAGTGTTGGCTCTGCTGCCGGCGGGCGGGGTGCGCCGCTCGGCGCATAGCCGCATCTTTCTCCTCCAAAGTCAGCGCCTGGCGCAGAGTCGTCGTCGACGGACTCTTCTCCATCGACACTGCCGACGAAGGCTCGGGGACACCGACGGACGGCGTACGTTCTTGTCCAGGCTGGGAATGGCACCGCGTCAGAGTCAGATCCAGGGACGGCAGGTCCGCGAACTCGGGGTTCTCGACGTGGTCTTTAGAATGGGAACGGTGCCTTCGCCACCCGGCGGGTATGGGGGATTTCGTAGCCGCCTGGTCCAGACTCAGGCTACTGAACGACGACAAGTCGTCCTCTAGACTCGCGACTTCGTGGATTAACGGGTTTGCGTTCTCAGGCGAGGAGACGGATCTGATGCTGGAAGAGGACGAGCTGTGGTCTAAGAGAGGTTGGGCGTATGGGTGTGTCGCAGACAGACCAGGACGAGGTGCTCTGGCAAAGTCAGAGGTAGAACGTCGCAGATCAAGCCGGTCGCAGTTGTCTGTGTAGGCGGACGTCGGGCAGCCGCAGTGAAGTATTCGCGGGTGGGCAGCGTCGCCGCGGCTTGGCCGGTCATTGCCATAGCTGCGGGTGTCAGTGTGCGTCTGAGGCAGACTCACTGTTTCAGTGCTGCATCCCATTCGAGGTCCGTGACAGGCGCAACCTCATGGCGTTCTATGGAGGTCGAGAGGACCATTCTGGACGCCGGGGGCTTGTGGTCTGCCCCGGGGTGGAGCGTTTGCGAGCCGATCGTTCCAGGATGCCGAGGCGGCGAAGAGCAGCGAGGCTCCTCTTCAGTAGGGGGTATTCAGTTTAGGTCGGCAAAGGGATGAGGATGAACGCTGACAGTTTTAAGTGATAGGAGTTCTATCAAATGTCAGCGTGGACGGGTGAGCGTCGGCGAGAGGACACGCAAGGGTGAGCGAGGAGATGGGCTGGCCAGTGTATAGCTACAGCTGCGCAGTATGTAGGTGATCTGCGATCACCGGACCAGCATTACAGGGCGGAGATTAAGGAGAGAACAGCAGTGATCAGGAAATGAAAACCCGACACAGGACAATGGCCGACTGGAGGATCATGCCCGACGAGTGCAGGAAGGACGTGCAGGACCCAGGAGCACTACGCGCCGAGAGGTTGAGAGGCGTGAAGGATACGAGGAATGTAAGGTCGATTCGGCGCAGAGCGCAAACCGTGCAACTGCGTAGGTGGCTTGAAACGTCAGGCGGCAGGCAGAGGATGCAGAGCCCCACGAGGTGGGGACGGGAGAGGGAGGCGTTGAGCCGCCCACCGAAGGGACCGCATGACCAGTTCGACCTCGCTTAGGCGGGGTAACCCTGATCGACTGAAGTTGCGGAATGTCAACATGGTGTGAGACCTTGATTCTGGTGGTGATCTATTCGCTTCAACCCCTGCTTCGAGCTGATGCTCCCTGCTGCGCGCAGAATGCGGTGGTATGTTTCGCCGCTCGCTAAGCTTGTAGCCTCCATGAGTCCTCGCAAACAGTGGTTCGCTTGCAGTTTGCAGACACTGTAAGCTACACGAGACGGCACAAAGGCGAGGGTCTGCGTCCCCCAAGCCACCTCGTCAGGATTGATAGGTGGTGAGATCCGACGCTCACGACTCTGTCGGACTTGAAGCGAGCTGTTCCTTTGGCATGGCTTCGGAATCTCTGACAGGATGGTAAGACTGGGGTGGTCGTTCCGAACCCGGTGGAGGCCTGGCCGAGGAATGCTCAGCAGGAACGGAGATCGCTGCGACAGCATCGGCTCGGAAGCGGAGGACGATGCGTTGAGAGGGTTCGCGGACGACGACTCTTGGGGATGCTGGAACAGGAGCTATGGTTGGGCTGATACGACGCTCTGCTGTCTTCAGCTGCTAAACTGTTGCGACCAAGGCTGCTGGATGCGTCTGCTGAGCGGTATCAGACACTGTTCACACTCAGAGTTCCACGCACTCGTGGCGAACCGCAGGTAGGTCGCAGATGGATGAATGCGATCGCTGGGTCTGAGTCGCTTGGTCTACGCGAAGGGAAGTCCTCCGCGGGGGCTATGCCTCTGCTGCTGCACCCTTGACCCCGGGTCAGTACATTGGGGACTTGGTGTGGCTGGGAGTCAACAGATGAACGGGCCTAGTGGATATCAGGCTTCCCGAAGCTGGGCGAAAAGATAAGAGGCTGCGTGTCTGTCCTTGTCAGGACTTGGGCCGGAAGTGTAGTGTCAGGTGGACTGGGGGCAGACGCCACGTAGGGTGCAGGTAATGAACAGTGAGGTTGAGTAAGCCGTGGGTTATCAGCTGTTGAGGACTACTGACCCTCAGCTGAGGGTCTAATACGGACTCCGAAGTTAACAAAGCATGGAATCACCCGACCGCAACTGCGAAACTAACGAAAGGACTTCCATGAGATCACTTTCTACATCAAGGAGTTTAGAACAGATGCTACTCTTGGTGTGGGTGCGTACATGCGCTCCAATCACTGCTGAGTAGTTACGCTCCGAGGCAACTTACCCGGGGAACGCAGCTTCCTGGGGCGATCGCTGCACCTCGAGCTATACGTCTCTTTGCTCCCACCTCGGACATGTGTCGGAGTATGGGGATACTGCGTGGGGCTGTCTGCCCGACGATCCTACCCTCGATGAGCACGTATCGGGTGGCGCTGTCTCAGATGTCCGACTGCAGGATGCAGGGTGATGACGAAGGGGGCTTGGTGAACCTTCAGTTCGCAACTGACGGCGAGGGGTTCTCCTGCGGAATGTGACAGTCGGCGCAGCATACCCCCACATGGTTCGAAATGGAGAGAGCTGGTGTGAGTGGGTTGAGGGGGCAAATCTGGCACCAGCGGCAGATTTCTGCCAACGCTTCAGCTGACCTCCGCGAGTTCCTGGCTGCACGCGACCTCCTTCATTCTGCGAGATACAAATTCGAGCGCAATGCCGTCAAGGATCGCGAACGTCCGGGCCGGACGACAAATGGCTCTCTCCTATCTTCCGAGGAATGCTGTCCAAGCACGTCTAGTCGCATGGGGCGGCCAGTGCCATGGGATCATGGTCCCATACGGTGTAGCAGTGACATCGCTCTTCAGACCCGACGAAGGGCCCATCTCACCCCGTGTTGATAGTTTGGTCGGAACATGGGCTGGCGCCGCACCCGGAGGCCGTAGTCTTGCGAACCCTTCTAAACAACCTCGTAACGCGGCAACCTCACAGTCTTGGCGCGGACCATTGTCCGTACGCTGCCAGCAGCTCATGTGGACTCCGGGACATGAATCTTCTACTTCAGCCCTAACTGTCTTGGGCATACAGCTGCACAGCAACCCCGCGTCGCACAGCAGAACGTTCACCTAGCCCACGTCCAGCGTCGTACCGGGCGTCGCACGCTGCCAAGGTCCGACCGCCTTCGCTGCTCAGTCACCGTTTATTTGGGTTCGGTCGGGCGGCCGTCTGATTGAAGCAAGAGCAAGGAAGAGCTCCTGATTTGGCTATCCGTGCACGGCGCTCGGCCTTGTCGGCGCCCCAGACCTGTGCTGATAACGGCCGCCAGAGCCGGCGGCAATGGCCGCATCCGCGGGGCCGCACACCCTAACCTGCGCAACGTAGATTTCACTTTACGACATTCCACGCTGCATTCCTTGCGGCGGGTTACATGCCGCCTCGGCGGACTGCGCTTCGGAGTGTGCGTCGGATTTGTCGGGTGACGGAGGTGAGTCCGACGGACCCCTTCGGTAGCGAGTGCGTTGCATGAGCAGAGTTACTCTGGGGTCAAGCTGGTGCATTTCTGAAGCTCGCTTGCTGGGTCGGAGGCGGAAGGCTGGACAAGTGGCAGACTCGCTTAGACAGAGAAACGAAGTCCCACCCTCGGTAGCCGCTGACTCGGAGGCACTTAAACAGTCGTGAGTTCGGGATCGGAGCACGCGATGTTCTCAGTGCGAATGACTCTGCTGGCTTCGGACGGAGGGACGGAAGGACGGAAGGACGGAGTAGCAACAGTCGGGCATTCCTCGTCGGCTCCGGATGGCGGTCTACGTGGAGCAAACAACTGTCTATACTGCCACGTCGATCGCATGCTGCGGACGTGCCCTTGACTCTGATATGGGCATATGAGGCTCGCGCGTGTACGCGGCAGAAGCCGCGAAGCCCGCCGGTGCCCGCGGCACGCTCGCTTAATGATTCGAAGCAGACCAATGCGACGAGCGGCTTCCCCACCGTGACCTGGCATACCCCGCTGTAATCACTATCGGCCTGACGGCCTGGACACCTGAGAGAAGACGACGAGAAAGGAGAGGAAACAAGTCTGTCGTGAGCAATCCGACGTCCTAGGCAACTGTTACGCGGTTGGGGCACGCAACTGTGCCAAGGACAGTTGTTATGGTGTCCGATCAGCTCACATCGCCCTCGTGTGGCATGCCCGGGCTTTGTTCATGCATAGGCCAACCTTGTCGGGGCTGGCGTATGTCGTCCTGGAGCTTGGGCAGCCGCGAAGAGCGCAGTCAGCCTGGAGCCGACAAACTGCGAAACCCGCAACCCTTGACGGGAAGCCACGGCGCTCACTTCCCCTGTCCAGATGCCTCTGTGCCCGATCTCATTCACTTCCTGATGCTTGCCTCGAGTGTCTCTCACCAATCCAGCAGGTCTCCAAGATGGAAGGACGATGGTTGGAGGAGCGCGATCGAGATGTACGCGACGTGATGGACTGAGCGTGAGAGCCTCGGACGGTCACCATCCCTTCCTCACAGCTATGCGAAGGTCTGAAAACGTTGCCTGGGTGAGCAACCCCGCCTCCTCATTCGAGTGACTGAAACTCCGTGAGGCCACTGGGAATGCGGCTATGCCCTTGGCCTTCTCTTGGCGGGTTGGTTCCATGGAAAAGAGGAGAGCCGTTCACCGTCGTGACCGCACTTTGGTGTCAGCTGTAACATTGAGAACCACTCACCAGAAGTTGCACTGAGCTCATAACTTACAGCGTTCTAGGGAATACAAGTTCGCGGGGAGATTATCTAACGAAGGTCTGATCAGGAGGAAGTGGTGAGGCGGCAGATGTTACTGCAACACGAGATGCTCACATAAGAGCGCATAGGCGCAAGATGACAGTGGTTGACGTGTCACTGAGGGGCGCAGAGAGGGGCGGTTAGCAAACGGCGCATGGTCCAAGGAGGGCGCAACACACTCTCGGACGAAGGGACGAGTGTGGCACCAGCTGCTGCTGATGCGATAGAAATGCTCACAAAGCGCGGAACCATCAAACACGACACGGCGCGGGTTATCGTACGCCAACGACCGGCGCACGTTCACCGGGTGACCTCCGCTGCTGATCGCAGGTCCAGCCATCGCAGCCCAAACTCGTCAGTTTCCGCGCGGTTCCCTCTGGCGGCTGCGGCACGCGCGCAACTCACAGCCCGCCGTTTCCGTTGAGCAACGTGTCCGCCTTCTTAGTTCAGTGGCTAGAATTTTCCACTAGTAGTTACTCATCGAGTGTTGCTATGGAACGGTCACCCGTTCAATTCGGGTAGAAGGCAAGAAGGCAGCGTCGAGGGTCATCGAAAGGTGATCAGGCGGCGCTTTTTGATTCGGTGCAGGCACCTGGGTGCGAGGGGATACCTAGCGCTTTGAGTGAGCATACGAAGGACTAGTCATAAGCAACGACGAGACTCGTGATATGGATGTGATTTCTGCGGATGAAAGCGAAGAGGACCGGTTAGCAGTGTCACTCCACAAGCCAAGTTAATCTCCAAGATTGGTTAACCTGCCGGTCAGTGTTGCGCTGCATCAGCTGAGAGCCGTGGCCCCCATCTCCGAGCGCCAGGCTCCTGGAAGCAGACTCAGCGCTGCACAGCAGTTGCTTCCTCAGTGTTGAGGACCCAAGCTCGCATGCCGATTTACTCATGTCGCCAATTGAACCCCGTTGCACTCGTCCGAACGCAGTTTCACGAATTGCAGTTCCCGCCAAGTCCTTGTCGATCGTCAAGTCGTCTGAGCGCAGCCACTGCGGATCTGCAGTGTCAGGTCATGATCAGATCAAGGTGAGCCAAGTTCGCCAAGCGATACCAGAGATCTTGTGACTGCGGATCTCATCTGGTCTCATCGGAAGGGCGCCTCATGTCTCATTGCCCTCGTGCCCTTCCCCCGTCGCCTCGGGATCATCTCCCGTACACCTGTGCCTGCCTACACGTGCGAGTTCAAGGCTGCGCATCTGTGCACGATTGGCCGTCGTCCAAGAACCCTCAGCCGTTGCAGACATGTGATCTGTGCGATGAGCGAGCCCTGTCACGGTCTGTGATCTCGGATCTCTTGGCCGTCAAGGGGCCGGGGGTACAGAGGGCGGAGTGAAGTTGCGAGGACAGAGGGGGGTCCCTCGCGACGCCTTTCATTTCCTTTCCTTTCTTGTCACACAAAGGGCATACTGCTCTTTGGAGAGGGTTCGAGGGCCGATGACTTGCCACAGTGAAACGTCGGATCGTCGGACAATCTTGGTCGCCTACCCTCTCCATCTTTCGGACATGTGAGCGAGGGCCACTCAGAAGCTCACATGAGCACGTCTGAGCAAATCGAATGGCGTGTGGGAGGGCGTCGACAATCTGGGTGCGAGCACAGTGCTGATCGAGTGGCGTCGAGCGGCGTCCGTCCGTGCCCCGCACCCCTTTGCGATGCGCTCGGCCGAATCCCGTGCTCTGGTCCGTGTGTCCATCTCCGGCGATATATCGGGCGAATGCTTTTTTTCACCTCCTACGTCACATCGCCTCCCTACACGGTCTTCAAGCTCCTCGTGCGTGCGCTGTACTCTACCTCGAAAACCACTTGCCCGTCGTCGTCGCTTGACGTGTCAGGCCTGTGTCAGATTGCGATCACGTTGGCGCGAGGAACGGTGCCAAGTGATGTTTCTCAAACATGCATAACTCGCGCTAGAGTCAACCTGAGCCAACGGAACACGGGAGACTGCGCCTCGGTCACATCCTCGTACTCCAGCATCTCGGAACCGATATTGGAACGAGCACGGGACGGCAGGACCAAGCAAAGTATTCACCGCCTCACTCGCCCTGCTCGGCACGGACTCCGAAGTTCGGCTTGGCGGGGCAACTTTGGGTATGACCCCGTTACGAGTGGCGCGCGTCAGAGTCGCGCGTCAGTGTAAGCGCCCTCGGCGTCAGTGATCCCCGACCTATTCTCTGAGCACTGCGGCATTTTCCAATGCTGGAAGGGATTTCTGGGTTGGCTCCGACAGGGAAGCGCCATGGCTGCTCGAGGCGTCAGCAGCTGTACAAGGGCACGAACGGGCTGAGTCAGGCGTCTAGGCGTTCAGGAAGAAGACAAGGCGCCGGCTGGCTGTGCGCGTCACGACGCGTCCTGTATTCTAGGCAGAGCTTCCTTTCCTTCGTATTTCCTTGCTGTCCTGAACACCAGGCCACTCTAGCGAGACGCGATGCCGGAACCCTCGTCAAGGTAGGAAGGACATGCCGACACGGGCTGGGCTGACGTAGCTAGAGAGGCAGGGAGAAGGGACCGGAACCGACACAGGGCCAGGGGATGCCCGGGTCCAGCGATGTCCTGGCCAGTCAGACGCCGGCGATGATGGCGCGGGCCGGAAAGTCTGCAGGAAAGCAGGATCGCTCCACTGGCGTTCACCTTGCACCTTGCCCATTGAATGCGGATGCACGTCACATCACGGAGGTCTGGTGCAAGCATAAGCACACACCGAAGCACGAAAGCATTCCGGAATGCAGGAATTTCCGCCCACCAGAATATGGAGAGGGAAGCCGCCACGATCGCCACTTACCTGAGTCCTCCTGTCCTGACAGCTGATGGGCAGCTGACCGACCCGGGACTGACCGGTGTCGTGTTTGAATTCGGACGCGTCGCGTCCACACTAGCGTCTTTCGACCACCAGCGTGACCCTCATGCGTCCTCGTCTCGCCGGATGGCCGAGGGTGGTGACTGAACACAGGACTGAAGGGGACAGGAATAGAAGAAGTGGATTGTTGGACATCCAATATCTATTCGCAAATGCACCCCATGGAGTGTCCACCAAGCACCGGCTCTGTACTCGGTGAGCTCGGCGCCGTATCCGGCAGAAGCAGCGGACGCTGGCGGAGTACTCTTCGGTCCTGCGGAGTGAAGGCTGCGGGGCTGTGCATGCCTGCGTGCTATCTTCGGACCAAGCTGATCGCCTGTCACCTGGTCTAGTGAGCCTCCGCGGTCCTCGGAGCACGGCATACAGTGACCAGCGCCGATCGACGGCGGCGATGCAGAAATGCCTGCTTTACCGGGCCCCGGGCCGGTCCCTTGTTGCGCGCAGTATCGCAGTCGTGCGAATGTACCGCTGCCTCGGTACGTTCTATACAGTGGATCCAGAAGATGCACTGAGGATTACGGCCGAGAAGGGCTGAAGGAACCCAAGAGCGATCAAGGTTGGGTGACCGAGCAGGAAGATGCTCGCTGGACTAGGGCAGGGTCAAGGGCCAGGAAGCTTAATGGGATGACGACGCAAGAAGTCAGTCACGTCTAGGTGCAGTTGAGCCTCAAGTGCTAGTTGGGTAGGCTTCGATTCTTCCTCGATTGCACCTAAGCTTTCTTCTTCTCTGCACCTGCTAACCTGCCTCGCGCAAGAGGTGCGTCCTTCGGACTCAGCGCAGAGGCCCGAGATACAAAGTGACCGAGGTCGCAATGTCTCGGGGCCAGTGCGGCGGAGTGGGCTCTGCACCGCCGCCAGGAAACCTTGGGTCCCTCACTTCCATCGCCGACGCCGCGTTGCCCGACCGCTGTCCGCGGCATGACAGCCAAGTCTGAAAGCGATGAAAATAGCCTTGTCCGAGAAATCCAGGGGACACGCACTTGCGCTGGGCCCTGTTGCCCTCACACTCAGGTCAGGTCCCTCCTTCAGGGACTAGACAAGGGGGCCTAGTCCAAGCAGCCTGGGTGGTTGCGGGCCGTCAATACTGCAAAACGACTGCAATCAACGCGGCCCCTACGGCTTGTACGTTTAGACTATGCAGACCGAACAATCCGGATCCTGGCACCCAGCCGGAACGGGAGGCTCCACCGTCACTCGCGTGCATCAAACACAGGGCTGTCGGACGGTGCAGTCTTGTGAGCGTGTCCGTGCTTGACGAGCGTGCCTTTGAGGGGGGATGGATACCCACACTCGACCTCGTTGCTCGCTGGGCTCGATGTGGGCGTGCGCCAGTCCCTGCCTCGCCTTGAATTGCTCGCCCCGCTGCCGGGCATATGCCCACAGACCTCGGCGTGTGCGAATGGGAATCTAGGCGGGCGCCATGCGCCTTCTCCGTTATCCGCCAGTCTGGCCAACGAGCCAAGCACACCTTGCTAGAAACAGTGGGAACTAATCAGCACTGCAAGAATGCTAATCAAGACCTGCCTCCCGAGCTTGCGGTATTCATGTTTGGAGCCTAATAGCCTGTCAGCCGCAACCAACCCACCACACAGAGGAATGGGCAGCGCTTGGAGCACTCGTAATCAGACGCGACTGAATTGTTTGTTCGACTAGACAAACGCAACCAAACACATTGCAGTGCTGCACGCCAGCGCCCGATCTCACCACCAGACCCGCCAAGCGCCAGCGTTTGTACGGCTCGCGTCGCTCGGACCGGCCCAGTCTCAGTGAAAACTTGCGCTGGATCTGGATTAGCCCGCATGCTACACACATCATCGTGCATACTCGATTCCTTGGCAGAGGGCGCTAGGACACCTCGTTGTTGCTAGAACAGCGCCAAAGCTCGCGAAGCGGTGCGGCACACCTAGTAGTGCTTCCTCCCGGATGCATGGCCAGCATGGGCCGGTGCTTGCACTAGTGAACAGATTACGGGCTCTGCCAATGCCCCGGCCTGCTACTACGGGGCATGGACGGGTGTGTGAGTGGGTATTTCCAGCGATCCTGGAGGCTATTGCGCTGATGAATGGGGAATGAGGTCATGGTCAGGCCATGTTGGCTGTAGTCACCGAGGAGGGAGTGCAAGTGCACCGCCGTCGTAGGGAGAGCGTCGAATGCCTGACTGATCCTTTGGTGTGCAGAGGACGCAGAGAATGTGGGTGAGCAGTGAGCTCGAGGTGCGTGTGGGTGTCCTTGCGCCTTGTCTGGGGAGCAGCTGGGTGGCGGCCTTGTGCCTCACGGCCAGGACACTGTCCGGCCCTGACCCGATCCCTTAGCGCTCTCTGCAGCCCTAGTCAGGAGCTTCAGGGCGTCACAGGGAACTCTTAACTAGTCAGGCTCGTCCATGTTTTGACAGGAACGGCCAAGCTCAGGGACGGCGCACTCCTCGACCACCGCCGATATCCACTAAATCCTTCGCAGAAACCTCCTAACCCGTCGCTGGCTGACGGCACCAGCGCTGCCGCTGCCGCACCGCACGCTCACCCCGCCGATGCCCACAGCCTGCGCTTCGGAGTAGCCTCGCTCCCACTCCCACTCCCACAGAAACTGTCCAGCCCTCTTATACACTGCCATGCGATCTGTCTTGTCTTTCCTCTTCTCCCTATCTTCTCCTTCGCCCTCCCCCCTTTCCTCCTCTTTTTCTTCTGTTCAGCCGCGTCCCTTCTCCCTCGCGACCTAGACACACAGCTTCTCTGCTTTATATTAGAGTCCCTCACCCCGAATCACCCCGCCTGTTCATACCGACCGCCTCTTCGGCATACCCTTCACTCTCTTGCGCACCATGCTTCTCTCCGTCCTCTTGACGCTCCCCGCCCTTGCGGCCGCCCACTCGAGCTGGTACCAGCCCCGCGACTCGCCTGTCCACGACCTGTTCAAGCGCCAGAACAACGGCACCAAGCCTGACTGGAAGACCAACGCTGACGGTAAGTCTAGAAGAGAGATAAGAACGGTGGGCGCTTGGTTCTAGTGCCTATGTCTGTCTGGGGCGCAAATCGATCGCCAAGATCGCTCGGTCCGCCCTCTGCTTTGAAACATGTGTACACACGGTGCTAATCTCTGCACAGGTTGGCGCGCGACCTACCCCGAGCAGTGGAAGGTCCCCCCTGTCGAGACCATCCCCAAGGAGTGGACCGACAAGCTCAACTCTATCAAGCTCCCCGAGGGCTGCCCCGTCGCCAACAAGAAGGGCGGCTCGTCCATCACCTACCCCGACAACAAGGACGGCAACTCCCCGGAGATCTGCTCGTTCACCTACGGCTGCCACAACGAGCAGGACGTCTTTGCCGGCCCTGACGGCGTCTTCGTCCTGACCTTCGACGACGGACCCACTGAGGCCTCGCCCAAGCTCTACGACTTCCTCAAGCAGAACAACATCACCAAGGCCGCCACCCACTTCTACATTGGTGGCCAGGTCATTGCCCTTCCCCAGTCTGCCCGTGATGCCTTTGACAACGGTGGCCACCTCGCCGTCCACACCTGGTCGCACCAGATGACCTCGACCCTTTCCAACGAGCAGGTTGTTGCTGAGCTCGGCTGGACCATGCAGGCTATTTACGACGTTACCGGACGCCTTCCTCTCTTCTGGCGCCCTCCTTACGGCGACACTGACAACCGTGTCCGTGCCATCGCCAAGGAGGTCTTCGGCATGATCCCCGTTCTCTGGAACAAGGACACCAACGACTGGCAGATTGGCGAGAAGCAGGACCACACCGTCGACTCGGTCACCAACGAGATGAAGGGATGGTTCCACGAGGACAAGAACCCCGGTATCGTCGCCCTTGAGCACGAGCTCAACGACCAGACCGTCCAGGTCTTCCTCAACGTCTACCCTGAGGCTTCGCAGACCGGCTGGAAGTTCCTCTCTGTCGCCGACGCCTTTGGCTTCAACTGGTACCAGAACTCCAAGACCAACGCCGACGAGGTCTTTGACAAGAACCTCAAGGTCGGCCAGCCTGGCACCATCCTCTACCAGAACCAGACCACCTCTACCGCTGCTCCCCAGCCCTCTGGCTCTGCCAACGCCACCACTGGCGCCAACAACGGCACTGCCCACCACAACTCGTCGTCGTCGAACGGCGGTGCCGTCAACAATGCCAACGGCACTCAGCCTTCGGCCAAGCCCTCCGCTGACGGCAAGTCGGCCGCTGGCGCCCTCACCGCTTCGGTCGCCGGCGTCGCTGTCGCCGCCGTTGCCGCCGCGCTCTCCATGTAAAATTCTCGACACGGACACTCTTGTTTATTCCCTGCATTCACCACCCCTACACCCCTATCCCTCCCCACCACCACCAACATTTTACGGACACTCAGCATGATGACTTAGCCCTACCCCCTAGCTCTATGTAGCAACGCTGGTTGCATCTCCCTTCTGTAGCCTGTTTGACTATCTGTCAGTGCTACGGCGCTGAGCGATGCAACCTTTAATTCTTTGTGCCTAGAGGGACGGACATGCGGCCGTGGCTTACGGAACGCACGGCTTTGCGAGCTTGCGACAAGCACAGCATGGAAGTCGCGAGGTGCCGGAGGCGTCCGTGTGAGATGTCGGGGCGCTGTTCGGACCCGGGCAGCACGGGCAGTGCGGGCAGCTTACAGCGACTTGGCAACGCCACGTCCATGTCAGGAAGCAGAAGAAGCAACATGAGCCTGGGAGGATTCCCACAAACAACGACTGGACGACTGGAAATTCCCAGCGACGTGCTGCCGCCTGTTCGGTCCGTAAGCTGGGCGCAATATCGGATCTCAACACGACTCCAGTGTCAAACTCTATCAGATGAAGGCGCCAAACACACCTGCACGCCTCGTCAAGGACGTGCCTCGTACACTCCGTGCCTCGTGCGCCTCACGCCTCACTCATCGAGCCATCTGCGTATCAACCAGCCATCTCGAGAGATACGAGATAGAGCTGCGCGCGCATTTCAGCCTTCGCACGGGAGATCGGGGTGTGGGTTTACCGTCTCTACGTCTGAGTCTCGTCTCTTGGATCTCAGTGCATGGCTCTGTCTCTCAATGCTCGGTGCTTCAAAGGAGGGTGGGTGCATGCTTTGGAGCTCGGAATGCAGTGTGCCATCCTGGAAGACTTTGGCGTGTGAGTGTGAACACTGCGCGAACAATTTATCGGGCCAGTAGCGCGTTCTCTGACTTTGGTAATCTGGGACGGTGTCAATGTCCTTTGCACGCATGCGCGCTCGTGAGCTCGTGTCGAGCGAGAGGTCTGTTCTATTTATGTACGGGACGATGAGAGCAGCCCGGGACACCTGGGAGAGATGCCGGGTATGCCGTGTTGAGGCACAGCGGCACAGCTGGCTGGCACCGGGGGCACGGTCCGAGTCAAGTGCCCTCTTTTCGCTCTGCGCTCGTGCCTTGAGTCTGCATCACTGGGGAGGACTCAGAAGGATAGAGGCCTTTAGGTAACTCGTAATGTGAGTATAACCCTCTTCCCTAATCCTCCACACTCTCAACGGTGAATGAACGCAAGGCGGTATGGATTAGGCTTCAATAGAATTTGTCACAGAAGGAAGCTCTGCAGGGAGAGCCCCGCAGAGGCGACATCACCGTCGACCGTCCGATGGCCACTTTGACGGGCCCAAAGTTGCGTCTGAGACACGAGGAGCCGGTGCCGTGTCCCATCCCTTGGCTCCTGTCGGACTCCTCCGAGGGCCGAGGGCTTTGCGCGCGACGCATGCTGCACATCAGCCAACGGCGAGCAGGGAGGAAGAAGTCGGAAGCGAGGGGAAGCGAGGGTGCCGAGGAGACCGAGACTTGCCTCGTTTGCACCACGTCTCTGTGGTCTGGCTCCTGCTCAGTTGAGAGCAGTGCACGGCCATTAACGAGGAACGGCGTAGGTACACTCTCGGCGACAATCACCACTCCCCGCCGTCATCTCCATCTGCTCTCTCTTCTTCCCTCCAAATCATCAAACTCTCAGAGTACAGCACAGCACACACTCACACAGACACACAGCTTCCGCGGATCCGTGAGTGTGGCATTCGATCGGGCTCCAATGCTCCACATGTTCACAACTCATAGTCGCCACGACTAACCTGCAACTAACCTGCGACTAACCATTAGCCACGGCTATCTCATTGATCTCTCCGGCAGCTCAATGCCTGGGTGTGGGTGGCATGTGGAACGGAAGCGGTTATTAATAGTGGACTACTCAGAGTGCAGCCGACGGAGCGCCGAGGTATGATGGATAGGCGTGCATGCGTAGCTCTGTCCTGTCGGTGCGGGCAAGCAAGGGCCGTGTCTCTGCCTCTGCGCCCCACCGTTGGTTCGTCCTTCAATTTCGAAGCGCACTCACGCACGCCGTTGGCGCGCGCATTACTTCAATGGACATACATAAATGCACTACTTTTGGTCGAAAACTACGGGGCTTTTATATAGACATACTTCTGTTCGTGATTGCGTGGAGAAAAAGGAATGGTGGCTGAGAATGGACCTCTCGCGGACAGCTCGCTCGCTCGCTCGCTTGCTTGCTTACAGCTCACGCACACGCAGCACCAGATTGATGACGACACTCGCAATAACAGTGAAGCAGAGGAAGGTCGGGCCCCACTTGTCGTGGTAGTTGATCGCCCGTCGGTCGCGGATCCGCAGGATGCGGAGCACGTACATATAGCCCGAGTAGGCGGTTGCAAGGAGCGCCGAGAAGGTGAAGCACGCGCTGGCAATGATGCCCACGCTGTCGTCGGCGCTGATAAAGTTCATGAGCGCAATCGACACCATGGACAGGAGCACCGCAAAGTTCATCCACTTGAGGAAGGTTCGCTCAGCCGCAAAGATGACCTTGGGCTCGATGCGCACCGGGATAGCGATGCGCTTGCCCGGCGGAGCGCGGAACTCGCGCGTCAGCGTGACGGCTGGGTCGTCGTCCTCGTCCGCCTCAAGCTGCGCCTCCTCTGCATCCTCTCGTGTGTCGCGCTCCGCCTGCGCCAGCTTGGCGTCAACCGCAGAAACGTTGAGGTCGAAGCGGTTTGAGGGCGCGAGCGGGTCGACACGCAGCGCCCGGTCGTACTGGCCCTTGCCGGTCGGTCGCTGGAAGCCAGAGTCGTCCGCCTTGCCGTTCTCGCGCAGCTTACGCTCACGGTGCTCACGTGCCGCCTTGGCGTCGGCCTGAGCCTCGGGTGGCAGGCGGAGCAGCCTGTCCTCATCGTGCTCGGCCGCAGTGTTAACGAGATACTCGTCTTCCTCTCCCTCGGATACGGGCTCGTTGTAGCCGGTGGAAGCATCAATGACAGGCGACTCGCCAGCGTTCGAGTGCTCGCCACTGGTGGGGACAGATGTCGGTCGCTCGATGAGCACACGCGAGCGGCTGGAAACCGGCTTGCGGATGTCCTGATCCATCTGGGGGAGCCAGAAGGGAACGAGGTCAACGCGCTCGGGAAGAAGGGTGGCACAGCCGTGGATGAACTTGGAGAACTTCGGAACGGCTTCGACGAGGTGCGAGTTGACAAGGTCGCGGATCCACTGGGGAGGCTCCTCGCCGACACGGGTCGCAAGCTTGACCTCCAAGATACCGTAAGGGAAGATCTCCTTATCCTCCTTCTTGACCGTGGGGAAGGGGTAGTCAATGCCAAAGTCTGTGCGGCGCCAGTTGCCGTGGGTACGGTCATTGCCGTCAAAGTTGTCCTCACGGACGAGCGTGAGCTCAGTGTCGAGCGAGATACGCACAGTCGCGTTACCGGGAAGCTGGAACGCGGTACGGTTGTAGAACGAGCGCATGACCGGGCGGAGGTTGCGGGTGACGATAGCGTACTGGATCTCATCCGCGAGCTGTTTCATGCCCTCGACCTCCTTCTCCGTCTTCTTGCCCTTCTTAACGAGAGCGTCAAACTCCTCGTCCATGGTGTACCGTCCAGCGCAGAAGTCGTTGAGCTTGTCCTCCTTGATCGTGAAACGCTCCTTGACAGACTTCTCTCCGGTCCAGTCCTCGCGATGCGTCTTGCGCTCGACGAAGACAACCTTGCCATCGACATCACCGTACCAACGCATACGGATGGCCTCGGCACCCTCAGTCTTCTCGAGGCGGCCGAGGTAGAGCTCGAGCTCCTCGTTGTCGTAGTAGATGGACGTGATGGCCGAGTCCTTGACGTTGAACTCCTTCTTCGTGTCGAACACGAGCACGGGGAGGTGCTTCAGGATGTTGAGCTTTAGCGGGACAATGTTCTCCTCGTGGACCCAGTACTTCGTGGTGCTACGCACGAAGGCGTTCTGGTTTCCACCGGCCGAAGAGTCTCCCTCGACAGGGTGGCCACGGGTACGGACAAGATCGAAGAGCTTGGAGAGCTTGACAATGACCGGGTCGTAGTTCATCTTGTAGAACGGATGCTGCTCAAGGAAGTCCTTGTTGAAGGTGGGCTTAAGCGCAAAACCGGTCAGCTTGTCGTGCTTCTTCACAATCTTGATGAAACCGGTGAAGTTGAGCTTGGTGAACAGAGCCAGGTCGTGGACGTCAGCCACAAGGACCGCGACCTCCTCCTCGAGCTCCTTGAAGCGCTCTTCGATCTCGTCAAGGCTGATGTGGTCGTCCTCCTCGTCGTCTCCAACGTCGTCGTCGTCCGAGCCTCCATCGTCGTCGCGGTAGCTGTTCACAGCGGCCTCGGTGTCACGCGGCGTGCGGTGGTCCTGGTGGTGATGCGAAGAGTCGTCGTCGCTGCTGTCCGCGGCGGCGGCCTTGGCGACTAACGAGACGACCTCCTTCTCAAGGCTGTCAATGCGCGAGTTGATCTCTTCCGCCTTGGTACGCTGGAAAGTCTCACACTTCTCCAGCTCCTTGCGGAGCGAGACGATGAACTCGGCTTCGGCGGTGTCGGTCCATGGAAGGTTGTTCTTGATCTGCTTCTTCAGAGCAGAGTAGTCGACATACTGGTCCGCCCACTCCGAATAGCGCGATCCCTGCGGTGGTTAGCTCCTGGTGACTCCAAGTTTTCGGCGGAGTGGATGGGAAAGACGTCACTGGCACGGTTCGAGCCGCAGCAGCAAGCATGCAACTGCAGTGGGCGCGATGCAGATACAACTGATAGCATCGCATGTCGTAGCGATGAATGCGCTGTACAAGTCGCCTGGGGCACAGTGCTGGGGGGTTGTTTGCTCACCTTGATGCGGCGACCGAACTTCATGGTGCACGGTGTGTCGTCAGTGACGTCGGTCGATCACGGGGTAGTAGTGTTGATGCCGAGGAGACAGCCGCACCACGAGACGACAAGAATGAGAGCGAGTGGGCCAGTCGAAGAGTCACAACGGACTGTGGACTTTGTGTGTGTGGGGAAGTGAATGGAGTGGAGAGTGTTGTAAAAGTGGTAAACGAATGCTGGAAAGGGTAAGGAGATCGATGGTCGGTTATAGAGACTAAGGATAAAGGAAGATAAGTTGCTCCGAAATGTGTGGCCGGATTTGTCTCCTTCTAATGACGAGAACGTGTGTCGTGTGCCCTTTTCGTGCGCTGTCGGTGGTGTCTGTTGCAAGCAAGGCGAATGACAAGCCGTGGAATGCCTGGAAATGGGACCGATTGTAGCAGAAAGTGTTGAGGATGACAGCTCGATTGAGGAGCGATCATCCATTCACCTCGCTAGACTCCAACTCTTCACGAACGTGCATGGTGCATCATGCTCAGGCACGACCGGCGCCTCCGTCCTCAGCCCCAAATGACCCTGCATTGATAGCCACCAGCCATGACGAAATGCTCCCGCGCGCCTTTCCACTAGTACTTGCTCCTCAAAAGTACATGGGCCATGCTGATGAGCCTATCTAAAATGTCTATGCAGTACAACAAGTTACACACCGTACTCGGCACGCAGTGCGTCCTTCCTCCTCTCAAGCAGGATCTTGCCCAGCTCTTCCTTGTTCGGCAGCACCGGCGCAGCAAGGGTGGCCGGGTCGAACACGCTCATGAAGTCGGCGGCAAGTGCGGCCTGGGCAGCCTGAGCGGCGGGGGCGGCATCTTGCGCCTTCTCAGTGTCTCCGCCCTTGGCCTTCTTTCCCTTCTTGGCTCCTCGTCCCTTCTTCTTGCTCGATCCCTCCTCGGCCGGCTCAGCTTCCTCCGGTTCAGGTGACTTCCGCTTGGAGGCTTCTCCGGGCTCTCCAGTTGGTCGCGAAACGATCACACTGGGGTACGCGGGAGGTGCCGTCTCGTCGCCCACGGAGAGTATCTCGGCAGCAGCACGAGCAGCCTTAGCCCAATCTGTATGTCAGCCAAGATGCCAATCGTCCCGCAGATGCATGGTGACTCACCTTCCCGCTGCGCCTCATCCTCCTCGGCCGCCAGATTGCCATCCATCTCGTCATTGTCGCCGTAATAATCCGGACCTTGGTTCCGGAACATCTGGAAGCTCGCATTACGAGCCGACTCCTCAGTAGCAGCTTGCGCTGGTTGTCAGCTGGACGGGATACCTACAGTAAGCTACTCACTTCCTTTTTGGAACAGCTCCTTGACGCCCGGCAGCTCTCGAGCACGTCCGAAGTACTTGTAGCCTCTCGTTCCGGGGACCTCTTTCCCATCGTCATCCGTCATCGCCGTCTGTGCGCGCTTGTAGTTCGCACCTCCAAGGTTGACGATTTGTGTCTCCCAACCTCGCTTCTCCCTCATGAGCTGGTTGATCTCGTCGTTCAGGTCGCGAATCTCGTAATCCGTCAACGTCGCTGTTTTCGTTAGCTTCCACCAAGGGGGAAGAGCTTACAGTCCTGAATCTTAGAGATTTTGCGACTGATCTCCTTCATGACGTCTCCGCGCCATCTCTCGCAGTCGCGAAGCGACGAGACTGAGGCGGGGACACGGGGCCGGCGTCCGCCAGCGACGCGGTTGCCCATGCCCATTTCGATGGCCTGCTGCTCGCGGAAGCGATACAGCATGGACTGAGCCTTCTCAGAATTGCGCGCCATCGTGCCGGGTCGTGCTCTGGAATAAGTTGTTGACGAGCTTGGCGAGGCCGATCGACATTATTATTGTTGAGTTGCAGGTGGCCGATGGATGACTGGTGGTGATTGATCTGATTCCGCTATCAGCATGACGTGTATTCCAAAGGGGTCTTGCGAGCATCAATTCGTCCTGTGCCTGGATTGAGATGCTGGCCAGGTCCCAAGTCCAACCCCACATCACGTCTGTCGTCATAGGGATGTCAGGCTGTTGATGACTTTGATGTCGCGCCTGCTCTTGACGATCGCGAGGGGAGGACCTCTGCTGCGAGCGAGATGTGTGGTGCATTCGTTTCGGGATTCGGACGTGAGAAACGAATTCAACTCCAGCTCCCTTGGACGATTGGTATTGGGTGCAGGCGCCAGTTCACCGTCTGTTCATGTGATCGCATGGTGGCCTTCGCAGAAGACCACGAGACACCCGGCGGCGCATGTGACGCGCCGCATGGAATGTTGCTGCTCCTTTGGCTCGATTGGAGCTCCTCCCACCCCCAAACAAAGTTCGTCCGAATGGCGCGCATGTCCAGTATATCCTCACGTCCTGAATGAGCATGGCATTCCTCACAAATAACAGCTCTCCACCCACTGATTGACCCAGACCATACGGTGTAAAGAGCCAGCGAACCGCAGCGCGCAGCGCACTAGGAAATCTTGCGGATCAGTAGCCGACGGGCCTGGCCGCCTGGCAGACTTCCGAGCAACGGCCCGGCTCCTGGCACGCTGCAGGCTGGCAGCGATCAACCGTCCTTTGGGTGAACGCTAGACATGACGATGAACCCGGCGCAGTTGACTGTTACGTATCAACATCACACCACCTTCCTCGTCATCCACAATCGCATGCTTACGCGCCCGACCACACTGCCTCTCCAGAATGTGGCCTACGCTCCGCGAGTTCTTGGCTGAGGGTTTCTACCCCATCCCGCCGATCCCCCCGCCACGTCCCGGCTCGCAGACGACGCGCGCGACGGGGATCCGACAACCTTCCTCCCAGTCACTCGACCTCATCGAAGCTACGCCAGGGCAACACATCACAATCAAGACCAACTTTGACATCCTCCAACCGCTGCAGGCAGCGCTGGAGAGTAGGCTCAACCTCGATGCACCTGTGTCTGGCGAGATCCCGTTACAGTTCGCGCGCGCGGCGGCCGATTCTAGGAACGCAGCCGTATTGGAGGGACCAAACTTGATGGACGAGCTGAAGCGGGCTTACGACATTGTGAACAATCTCGTGCGCTGCACACTGGGCAAGGAAGCCGTCTCGCTAGGCAAATGGACCGTTGTCGGCAACCAGACGGAACCGCAAGCACACCTCGCGTTCGACCACAACCATCCCGGTCAGACCTTTGTCTCAGGCACGCCGGATGCGACATGCGCTGTGGACGGGCGGCGAGAGACGCCGGCGATCGCACTACTCGAGAGCACTGTGACGGCCATGTTCAGCGACGACCGTGACCTTCGGCGGCAAAAGGCGACGCTCCGGTCGGACGAGGGCATGATCGTGTACATGTCGCAGGCGAGCCGCAAGCTGCGCACGTGGAATAGCTATCTGCGCAATGGCACCGCGCAATTCTGGGTCAACTTCATGGCGCAGGTGAGTCACTCAACCAGCTGCGACGGTGCAGACTAACGTCAGGTCTGGGAAGAGATGCACCAATACCGCGCCGAGTGCGTTGTCATCACGTCGTGGAAGTTCACGAGTCTGTTCAAGCGCATGGGCGCAAATCTCATCGAAGTCTCGCCCATCTCCAACTTTGACGACGACCTGACTGGCCGCTTGAACATGTTGCAGATCCTGACTGCGTTCGCCGTGTCCAAAGTCGACGACCCGCTCACCGCGTGGACGGACCATCCGGGAACGCCTTCTCTGCTTCGACGTGACAGCGAAGAGCTCGACCGCACGGGAGACGCCACGCCAATGCCGTGTCCACTCCCTGCTGCAATCACAATATCAGTGAGTGGACAGCCCATGAATGTGTTTCCTAACCAACAGGGCATGGGGGAGAATCAGAGCCGCTCTGTCGCTCAGCTCTCTCTCGTCTATGCGAACGATCACGGGGCACGCGACGAGTTCTCTAAGCATGTACCCAAGGCCGGGAACTACACTGTCCACCTGGGTGAACACATCGGCAGCGGGCGAACATACGAGTGCTATCGGGTGAAGGACACAAACATGGTCTCAGCCTCTGGCGGCCTGGTCGCCAAGGTTGTTCAGCTTGAGCAGTTCCCGGTCCGTGACGCCAAGTGGAAGCGGTCAAGGGTTGCGACACGAGAGGCAGTCAAGGCCGAAGCGGCGCTGTACACCGGCGCTCTGAAGCCGCTGCAGGGTGATGCAGTCCCGACATTTTACGGCCTGTGGACTGGTGCATTGACAACTCCGGGTCGCGTGGAGTCGAAGGACTTTGCGATGCCGAACGGGGAAAAGACCGAGCCGTGCAATGAAATCATGGTCATGATCCTGGAGGACGTCGGACGAGTCATCGCCGACCGATCGGAGTATGTCGGTGATTTTGATATGTGCGTTTAGCGAGATTTCGGAGATGCGTCAAGCATGCTGACGTCAGTGTCGACATTGTGTCCCTGTACGAGCGGCTGTACTCCGCCAACGTTGTCCACGGAGACATCGGCGTCAAGCACATCATGAAGATGGGGTTAGGAGAGCTGCGGCTCATCGACTTTGAGAACGCGTGGGAGGTTGATCCTGACAAACCGCGGGAGTATGTCGACCTGCTGGACGAGAAGCGCACGCTGCTTCGCGAATTCAAGCAGATCATCCCGCCTGAACTCGAGAACCTCGTGCCTCCCTGGGAGATGGAGTGAAAGCCACAGCTGTATATAGAGTTTTACACATTGGATCGGGGGACACACAGACCACACGCCTGTAGCATTCTATAATAGTACCGTGTTCCCACATGCATCTGGTACATGTCTCTGGCGCTGCAGGCACCACTGGCGACCGTGCAGTACGCATCGCCGGGGCGGGTGTACCTGTGCCTCAAAATTTCAAGCCGTCCACGGATCAAGGTGCGGCAACGGCACGGGGCAAAGCGGCAATGGCCACACACGGCGTGCGCCGCGCCGTGCTCTGCAAAACGACGAAACGCGTAAAGTCGAGCGGGTTCTGACAAAGCTACCGCTCTTGAGTTGCTTTTGTTCCGCGAGGCGACCGCAAGGCGGCCGCGGAGGGTTGCAGCGAGGCGCAGCAAGGGTTTCTGTATGGCTGCAGTGCAGAGAAAGTTGCGTCCCGAACCGAGGCATGTGCCGCAGGGTCTGCTGCCTTCATAAAAGCGAGGAATTACTCCGGCGGCAATGGGTGCTGGCAGCCTCGATTATGTTCGATTAGCGAATGACCTTAATCTCATTAGGGGTCCAGGCAAGTCCGGCGATCCAGCGGTCGCAGCAGCCGCCCAAATTTTGCCTCCGCCGGTACGGTGGGCGCAGGACTTACCGAGCCCCTTGCCCTGGGAGAGGGCAGAGCCGCATACGGGCGCCTCTGATGCGGCTGGCGTTGCGGGCGATACAGGCGATACGGGCGAGCGGCTGTGGCCTGGGAGCTGGGAGGCCGCGCCCGCTTGCCGCTTTGGAGCACTCGTTCAGGTCGGCGGCAGGAATGCAGCGTTGCAGCAGTGCTTTCCAGACCCCCCGCAGTCAGGCAGTCATACCTGGGCCGGACCCAATGAAGGGGAGCAAGATTATCAATCAGTCCCGCCGGGTCGCGACTTGGCGAGCGCAGACTTCGCTATCTTGCACCATACCCATCCCATCCCCATCATACCTCCTCCATAGACTAGCAGCATAGCTTCCCTCAACGTTCCCCACCTCCACAGGCACACCAGCCTCCCACGAGTACGGGCACCTCGGCATTCTACTCGATCGATTCTCCTCCTCTTCCCCCGACCAGCCATTCGGACGCCATCAACGCCTCTAGTGATACCTCCAGTCGCACCATTGTCCACCTCGGCTTCCCACTCTCGACACGTCAAGCACCTCCAGTTCCTCCCTCATCACTTTCCCCTGGCCGCCGCCCGCGCCGCGAAGGACCTGACTTCAACGATGAACACGCCCCCGCCCGATGCCAGCGCTGCCTCGAATGGAGCGGTTGATCCCGCCGGGTCGATCAGCGTCGTGCTCGACTGCAACTCGGACGACGACCTCGCCCACACGCCCCCGCCGCAGCCGCTGACTCCGTCGCCGCCGCCGAACAAGGCCCTCAACGGCGGCTTCATGCACGAGGACCACGAAGAGCCGCCCCTCTCGCTCCTGCTCCGGACGATCGACTTTGCCGCCTTTGTGAGTTTCCCACCAAGACGTCAGATCTGGTTGCCACGCTTCCGGGCGTCAACATCCGTGTACACCCAGCACGCCGATCACGCGACCATCTGACCTGCATGTATGCAGCGCTGACACCGCACCAGAAGCACCAGTGCCAGCGACGGAAGGACCTGGACCAGACACCATACATCAACCACCCCATCGTGAGTCGCTCTGCACGCTAGAAGCGCCGTCCGGCTATGACCCCAGCTAACGCTGCCAGGCCGTCGCCAACATTCTCTCCTCGACGGGTGTCACCGATATCAAGGTCCTACAAGCAGCCGTGCTGCACGACACGGTCGAGGACACGAACACTTCTCTGCGTGAGTTTCGTGCTGCAGTGCCATAACTGACAGATCCAGAGGAGATTGAGGAAACTTTTGGGGCCGATGTCGCCCGAATCGTTGGCGAGTGTACCGACAACACGGAGCTGAACGGTCTCGAACGCAAGCTCGAGCAGCTCCGCACCGCGCCGTTCCGCTCGCGCGAAGCGCAGCAGGTCAAGCTCGCCGAGTGAGTTGCCTCCCAGCTGAGCGCTGTCTACGCTGAAGCTAATGACAGCAAACTGCACAACCTCGAGAGCATCCGCCGATGTCCCCCTGTTGGCTGGGGCGTGCGCCGTATACAGGCCTACTTCCAGTGGGCGAAACAAGTGACCGATGGTGAGTCACGGTGCTTGGCCATGGCTATGGCTCTCTGGAGCACTGAGCGCTGAGCTGCAATACTGGTGGACCATTAGCTGACATCCAGTCTGCGCACCGGCCAACCCGGCACTTGCACGCAAGCTGCAAACCCTCTACGAGACGGCGTACACGCGCGTCAACGGCGAGTACTTCCCGTGCCACCCCGAGGCCGCGGGTCCGCTCACCGAGGCGGAGAAGGGGCGTGTCGATGCACGCCTCTCAAACTGCTCAAAAGGACAGGAACCGTGTCCCCGTCCCATCTTCTTCTGATCCATGTCGACTGTAACCGTGTGCCTCTGCGTCAACCACCTGACGCACGCCTGTACCCCCTCTGTACCACCATGCTCTCATCCCCTTCCCAATCAACTTCACCACCACACCCAGCAACACAAAGTCATAAACATTTTACAGTCAGTGTCAGTAGTAAAAACAAACGTTACACCTAAGCTTCCCTCTGGAGCCTCCCCCTTAGCATGCAAGATGGAAATGTACATTTGGACACGTATGATACAATTGAGAGAGCGAACTGTCTACTTCTTGTTGAGCTCGGAGGCCCAGACAATCTTGTCCGTATCTCCCGCGGCCTGATAACAGAGTCACCGAGCGCGAGCGAGGGAAAGCGAAGCGAGCAAGTAAGCGAGCGACAGAGCGTGGGTGAGTATCCGTTCGATAAGGCGGCAGCACGGCGATCGTCAGTGCACCAGCGTGAACCGTGAGAAGGTGCGTATGTGGGTATGAACGGAGCCGAACAGCGGAAGGGAGAGTTCAGCGATGGTCCAAGCAAGGCAACGAGATTCAAGGCGTGTTCCAGAGCGAGTGGAGTCCGTGGTCAGCATGTGCAACACGACCGCAGCAGAATACTCACAGCAAGCTGCTCCTTGACGGCGTTGTCGCCGCCTTCCCGCTGTCGGCGGATCTCGTCGACCTTGCGGCGGAGGTCGGGGGAGAGTCGCTGCCGTCAGCCATCGGTTCACAGAAGGCGCTCTCTAGCTGTCGCTGAACTCACATTGTAGAGCTCCTCCTCGGTCGGCGTCGTCGTCACGAGGAGCGCGTAGCCGCCTCCGATCACTGCGGTTAGCTCCACCAACAACGGGGTAGCTCGGGGTGCCGAGGAAGGCAGGAATACTCGAGACCAAAGGACCCCGCAAAGGAGCGGAGATGGAATACTCACGGACAGCAGACGTCGTCAGGAATCTGTCATTAGCTGGAACGTCCGAAAATCAGCTATGGAGTACTCACCGGCCCCAGGCAATGTTGGTCATGGTGTCGAGATGGGTGTTGAGTCCGAGTGATCGAGATGGACTTTTTGGCGAAAGCGCTCGTCCAGCGACGACATGACGGAGCAAGGTCGGATAAACATGGGGGTTTGAAGGAGGGGCTCAAAAGCTCAAATCCTAATGCTGTTATTCGCTGACATTGCGTACACCCACTTCATTAAAGATAGATTACGATTCATTACAAAGTGGCACGACTACGATCTCGGATGCCTCGAGGCCTGAGAGGAGAGTGCCCGAGAATACGCTTAAAGGATCTGCATTACAACTTCCTGGGAACCTGGAACACGCTGTTCGCCAGATCCCAGAACATGCAAGCTCCACTGAGACTTTAGGCATGTTCTGGAGGTCCTGGAGCATGGGCCATGAAGGGGTAGCAAGTCAGAATTACATGCTGGTGACAAATGCCAAAAGAGGCGCTGGTGCGATTCGAACCAGACACCCCTTTTTCTGGGCGGGGTTGGTCTACACGTTCTACTAACGACTAGACTCCAAGCCCAGGGCTTTCTTCGGTGAAGGCAAGCGCCCCCGGGCAACCCCCGCCTGTCTGGTTCCTGAGATTCCAACTGGCACGTGACCCGCTCATCGAGCTTTGGGTCACATCAAGGTCACATCTGAAGCCAAGCCCACCTCGTGTTGCCGCAATGACGCGCAGAATTACCGGAAGGGGTAACGCAGCGGCGACACAAGTTCGTCGTGAAACTCTCATGGACGCTGTTGGGGAACATGGGGACGATGGACGTTGGGGACCATCAGTCAACACACCGAGGAGATATGTCAGCGTGCTCAAGCCATGGCCGAGACGCCGAGGGCGATATACGTTGTTCCGCACCCTGTAATCGGCCTGGGAGCAGCTCGCCGCTGACATTATGGGCTGACTGCTGGGTGCGGAAGCGTCACTGGCCAGAACGCTGGAAGCGAGGCATTAAGGAATCCAAATGGGGAGCAGCCAATCAATTGGCCGCAGTGTCGTCGTTTAGTGACGTATTACATGTCAGACGCGGCGTGTCGACTCGTTGCAGTGTAGGCTTGCGTACCAGCGTGCCCATAACGCCCGTACGCCCAGCCAGCCCAGCCAGGCGAGCGAGACCGGCTCGCCGCAGTCGCCACACGCCGATTCGCATGCATCTCCTACGCTGGACACTCTGCACTCACTCCACATCAACCACCTCCAAACGTCACTATCCCGCGATCGCACTATCCACAATCCGCCGCCGCTCCCACAGTATCAACCCACATCATCATCTACCGCCGGCCGATCTCGTACACTTGCACGCCCAGCCGACGACCCTCCGACTGCACAGCACCCGCTTCCAGCGTGCTTGCAAACCACTCCATCCACCACCACCTTACCGGCTAACGGTAAATTAATCTCGAGCCTTTCCCCCTTCCCACCCGCCCCTCCTGTCTTCTACTCCTTCAAGGACAACCAGACCCTTGTCGGTGAGTATGCTTTTGCTTCGTGGATGCCCCGTCTCGATATGCAACGCTTGGCACGCAAGACACGCCGTGTGAAGACGCCGCAGCCACGCCAGGCCCCTTATCAGTGCCTTCCAGCTGACAACAGATTCGCTTGCCAACTTCGTCATCAAGGCGCAGCGCGACGCCGTCGACAAGCGAGGCAAGTTCACTCTTGCGCTCTCGGGTGGTTCGCTCGCTGCCAACCTCCGAGGACTTGCGGACCAGGAGAACGTGCAGTGGGACAAGTGGTAAGTGCATTTCATTTTCCAACTCTGGCGGGCCATTACGGACCATGCGGAGCTTGCCTCGTCTTTCAAAAAAGCCTCCCGCAACCCTCAGCCTCACCCTTCCGTTCGGCCGGAACGAGCAGCGGCGCCTGTCTTTGCATTCGGACCCCCTCGCGACGGCTTGCCTGCACATCTGGGTCAGCGAAAGGCCCGTCCTCGCAACGGATCTCGCGCCCGTCGCTGAGGTCCTGTGCTCAGCCTCGCAGTGGGTGACGGTTGCACCAGGCACTCTGCACGAGCCAGCCGCAAGCTGTCGCGAGGAGTGGAGCGTGTGCTACGCTGTGCGCATCGACTTAGGGGTCACAGTCGCAACTAGCCGATCTTGCCACAGCGGATAGGCGGTGGCATGCTCATGTGACGTTGAGTGCAGGGGGAGATAAGGAAGACTGCCGATGTCCGCATCGGGTCATCAGACACTGCGCCTCAGCCGCCGCGATAAATGTCCCGTCACCTGGGCCTCAGCTGACATTCCAGGGAGATCTTCTTCTGCGATGAGCGTGCCGTGCCGCTCGACTCGGAAGACTCAAATTACCACTCCAACTGGGTCTCGTTCCTCCAGCACGTCCCCATCCCCAAGAACCAGATTCACACGATCAACCCGGAGCACCTCGATGACCTTGAGGAGCTTGCCGACGACTACGAGAAGCAGCTCGTGCACCACTTTGCTGCGTCAAATGCCGCCCGCTACCCTACCTTTGACCTGATGCTGCTCGGAATGGGAGTAGAGGGCGAGACGTGCTCGCTGTTCGCCGGACACGAGGTTCTCTCCGAGCGTGACGCGTGGGTGACTAGCTTGGACGACGCCCCGAACGGACCCAAGCGTAGGATCACCATGACGTGAGTGCAGCTATAAGGTCCGGCGACTCAAGCTGACGTGCAGTATCCCTGTTCTCACGCACTGCTACCGTGCCGTGTTTGTCGTGTCTGGACCCGAGAAGGCGGAGCTGCTGCACACTGTTCTCGACAAGCCGGAGACCGGACTCCCGTGCTCCCGTATCCGCCCGGCAGCCCCTGGGCTCGTGTTCTGGTTCGCCGACGCCGACGCCGCCAAGGACACCAAGTACCCTCCCACGACCTTCAAGTGGATCGACAACCAGAAGGAGGCCGAGGAGGCTGTCGCCGCCGCGAAGAGGCGGGCGGAGCAGCGGGCGAAGCAGGCCGCCGAGGAGAACTAGTGTGTGTAGAGGGATTCTTTCAAGCCAGTCCGAGTATAACACAAATATACGGTTGTTCGCGCACGCTCTGCCTCCAAAGCGCGCGCTTCGTACAGGCTCGCTCGCTTCGACTTACGACTATGTTTTCCTTTTGGTTCTTCTCTTTTTTTCAACATACATCTCCTCAATACCCGCAACCCCGGGCATCAGGACAGGACGACATAGAGTCGATGATATGAGATGAAATGCATATGGAGAGTAGGGAAATGTCACGAGCTGTCAGGTAGTTTAGAAGCGGCAGTTGCCAACCCAGCGGGGGAACGGCACAACGTCCCTGATGTTCGCGACACCGGTGACGAAGCTGACCCACCGGTCCCAGCCCATACCCCAGCCGCCGTGGGGTGCGGACCCATAAGCCCGCAGGTCGAGGTACCACCTGTAGTCCTCTGGCCTGAGTCCAGCCTTGGCGATAGCGGCCTCGAGGGCATCGAGGCGGTGTTCGCGTAGGGATCCTCCCGCCATCTCCCCAATCCCAGGGAAGAGGAGGTCGAAGGCGGCAACAGTCGGCGCAGGCGGAGTGGGCGGGAGGGGCGTGCCGTTCCGCTCGAGGTCGGCCTGCTGCGCCACCTCGGAGGGGAGCATGTAGAACGGCTTCTGAGCGGCCGGGTAGTCCGTGACAAACACTGGCCCGCCGAAATGGGAGCCAGCGAGCCACTTCTCCTGCTCGCTCGTCAGGCCCTCATCCCACTCCGGCTCGTGCTGGAAGGGCACTTTCTGGTGCTGTTCCTGCAGAATCGTGATGGCGTCGGCGTAACTGACGCGCGCAAAGGGCTTGTCAGCAGCAGCCTTCAGGTGTGCCAGGATGTCGCCCTCTGACGAGGAAGAGGGAGAGGACGAGGGAGCACCCGCCGCAGCCTCGGCCACCTCGCTCTCCTCCTCCACGACCTCGGCGGCGCGATACCGCTGGATCCTCTCCAGGTCCGCCCTCTCCCGCTTCGCCCGCCCGCCCTCGCCCTCAAGCATGCGCTTCAGCGTATCCCTGAACCCGGCCTCGACGACGTCGAGCAGCTGCGGCAGCGTGCTGATGAAGGCGACCTCGCCCTCGAGCATGTAAAACTCGGACAGGTGGCGGTTGGTCTGGCTCGCCTCTGCCCTGAAGCAGGGACCCAGTGTGTAACACCTGGTGAGGCTGAGGGTGGGCGCCTCGAGGTGCAGTTGGCCCGAAACTGTCAGATTGACTGGCTTAGAGAAGAAGGGCTCCTTCGCGTCCTTCTCGGCCAGAGTGAAGGTCTCGCCGGCACCTTCGCAGTCAGAGCTCGTCAAGATGGGGGTATGCACGCGCACAAACTCGTGGTCCTGCTGTTAGCTGTACTCAATCTAGCTAGCTGATTCGTACCTCGAACCAGTCGTGCCAGTCCCTCTCCAGCGCGTCCCGGACTCGCGCAACGGCAGCACCCTGTCCTGTTCTATACCGCAAATGCGCGTTCTCCCTCAGCAACGACGCCGGCAACGCCTTCTTCTGGATCGGGTACGTCTCCGGATCCGCCAGACCGAGGATCTTCGCCTCGTCGACGAGCAGTTCCAATGCCTGCCCCGAGCCGCGGGAGGGGAGGAGCGCGCCGCGCATGCTGACGCTGGAACCGAGCGTGAGTCTTCGTGTCGTCAGCTACCGTCTCCCACTTGCTCACACGGAAACGTACCCATCAGCCTTTCCCTTCCCCTTCAGCACGGCCTGGACGCTGCCGCCTGTCCCGTCGTCGATCTCGGCAAAGGCGACATTCTTGTGCGCGCGCACGGAGCGGATCCAGCCGTTCACCTCCGTCTGGGCCGGGCGGCAGGACGCCGTCGCGCCCTCGCTCACGCTGGGACCGGAGGCGAGCTGCGTCCGGATCGTGGCCGGAATGCTCGGCAGCGTCTGCCGTATCCGTAATGTCGACCGCATCTCGTTGTTGTTATCGTTGCCGGATCGACGATCGTCGAGACTCGGACTTTTGCCTCACTGACTCGGGAGAGTGGAGGTCGGCGGAGTACGCAACGAGTCCGTCGGCAGGCGGGGGCATTCTGCCACCAAGATGGAGCGCGACATGACGTCCTAGAGTTGCAGAGCAAAGGAAGACAACAACAACACCTTTAGGCATGCCGAAAGTATACACGCGCGCCGTGTTTTCCAGCTCGGACCATGCGGCACCGACAGCGTCCTCGCGCGCAGTCCTGCGGACGTACTACTGTCTCTGCGGCGACTTTGCGCTCGTGCTGCAGGGCAAGCTGGAGCGTCTTCCCCGGCGGAAACACGACGGGAGCTGGATCATCCGGTCCCGGCAAGGCAGGCTCGGACAGGGAGCGCGCAAGTTCAAGATGAACGTCAAGGACGGAGAAAGGGTCGTGGTCAAGCGGTACGTAACCCCGGATCGACGGATCGGGGTCAGCTAACGGGTGTAGGAGACCAAGCTTACTTCAGAACGGACGGCAAACTGGAGCCCAGACAGCCTTTCCACTGCCAACGATGCGGGACGCAGTGTGAGCTGCCACCTTGATGTAGATTAGCTGACAGGCAGTGGCGTACCAGACTACCCCGCCGCCGGCGGGCGATGCGCCCTTCGTTTACGTTCTCAAGGGCGCATTGACGGAACACCAGGGCCGACTGCCGCCGGACGCCTTCGAGGGCGAGGACGACATTCCCGAACTTGCTGAGACCGAAACGGCAGAGAAGCAGTAGTGTACGATTGGGTTAGACGATAGATGCATTGTTGTATATTAGGTGGTACAAGTCTGCTGCGCTCCTCCTATGCCCCATGCTGCGCTCGCTCACTCCTCGTCCGCACCCTCCACGCGCAGGCTGAGCGTCTCCATCCTCCGCATGATGCGCGCAAGCTCGTCGCTGCGCTCGCTGAGCGCGTGTTCGAGCGGCTTGAGCTGGCGATGTCCGTACGCCGCTTCATGCTGCTCCTTCCTCCTCTGCGCCAGAGGACGGACGACATCGAGCTGCTCATTGAGGATCTTGGCGCGGTGGGCGATACCCTTCCGTCCGCTGATACGAGCCTTGATGCGCTCCAGCTCGTCGAACCACTTGCGCTCGACCTCGCCAATCTGCGGCCTGTACTCGGCTAGCATTGCGTTCAGGACGGCGTCGAGACGCGCACTGAGGGCGGCCTGCTCGTCGACGAGGCGCTCGGTGCGCTCCGCCTGCTCGTCGGTCTCGGCCTGGATCGACTGCAGTGCTGTCTGCGACTCGCGAAGTAGAGTCAGCTGGCGCTGGTACTCCTGCGCCTGCAGCTCGACGCGCGCCTCGACCTTGGCGCTGGCGTTGCGGATCGCCTCGGCCTGCTTGTTCACCTGCGCCGCAGCGTCGGCGAGAGCTCGCAGGTGCTGCGGCCCGATCTCCTTCAGCTCCTTCCTGCTGTCGGGAAGCTTGCGAACAGCAGCGAGCGGGTTGGCCGTCTTGGAGTCCAGAGCTGGGTTAAACGCCTTGGTCAGCAGCTGGTGCGACTCCTCGGCCGGCTTCGGCTTCTCAGGCTCCGGAACAGGTTGCGGGTCGCGGTCAGCGACACGCATGTCCATCTCGACGGCGACGAGTTGGCCGCCAGCAGCGAGAGCAATAAGACCGTAGCCCAGGGTAATGTTGCAGAATGTCGCGGTGCCGATGATTGGTTTCGTCGGTCTGGTGTTAGCTTAGCGAAGAGGAAATCATAACTCACGAAGCGATAACGAGTGCAGCGACATCGCTTGGCGGCAGATCGCCTGAGCCGCCGTTCAGCTTGCCAATCCACGGTGCGACGGATACGGTGTCAACGGAGAAGGCGGATTGGACGTAGAACACATCACGGTGGATCGGGTCCGCGACAAAGCGGGGTGCGTTGATAGCGAGCGCCTCAGGCTCTACCGGCGGGTAGGAGGCAAGGACGCTCTCGACGATGGGTACGACGATCTCGGCGTCAACGGGGTCGCGGGAGGAAAGCCACCGCGGCTCAGGCGCCACCTCCTCAACACCGATGTCAATGCGGCCGCCAGACCATGCGATGCCAACGACGTTGATCGGCTGGGCGTCTTCTGACGGTGATGAGTCCACCTCAGCTGGCACGGCGGGGAAGACGACAATGTCACTCGCAATCTGCTCGTCGATCTCGTCTCCGTTTCCAACCTCCTGCGGCGCGGGGTCAAACAGCACAGGTCCCTGGCGGAGCAGCGGCCGGTGTACGCCGGGCGCGGGCGAGCCGCTCGGCGTCAGATGCGGCGGGTGGACATGGACGAAACCTGGCCGCGGGGGAGTGCGCTCAGGCGTGCGTTCCGGGGAGGGATCGCGGAGGCCAAATCCGCGGCGGTGCTTCCGCGGCTGCTCGGGTGACGGCTCCTCGTCCTTCTTCTCTGCTTGCCGCATCAGAGCATCCACCCACTGCGACTGCAGTCCAGCGCGGCCGAGGAGGCTCGCGTGCTCCGCGCCATGCTTCCCGTCACCCTTCAATCGCTTTTGTCGTTCCGTAGCCCACGCCTGCAGGCTCTGTAGGTATGCGGCCGGCACCTCGGCGTGCAGCGGGAGCACGGGGCCCATGACGTAGACATCGCCGTTTGCCATGAGCGCGTAAACCATGAGGGGGCCGAAGTCGACGGTACCGTGCGAGAAGGAGAACGACGTCGCGTACTGCGACAGCGGGTCGATTGCTGAGAACTTGCTTCCCTTCGATCGGTCCGCGAGAAAGTTGAACGACTGTACGGGGTCTTGCGGTCGGAGAACGTCGTATTCACTGCGGTTAGGTCGGCAAGTGCACATGCACCTACAAGAGCTGCCCGTCGGCAGTCAAAACCCAGAGCGAGTTGCCGCTCTCGCCCCACTCGTGCCAGCGCACCTTCGTGATGGCGTTGTCGGAGGAAGGCGAGTGCTGGTACTCGTCGATAGGGAAGGAGCTGACCGTTAGCTATTGGAGAAACTCTGGAAGCTCACTGGCATGCAATGTCGCCTCCGACAGAGGATGCAAAGCCGGATCGCGGGAGCACGAGAATGACAAGCTGGTGATGTCCGACGACAGCGAGCAGTCGTCCCGTCGGGTTCAGCACGAGCGAGTGGATGTTGAACGTGAGGTGGGGCGACTTGAGAGTCTGCTCGTCAGCTTTCCATACGCCTCCAGCTCACCTTGTATCCTCCAACTGTACCGCCATTGATCTCCCATCCCGGTCCCGTCAAACTCGTCATGCGGATCTCCTTGCCGAACGCAACAATGATGTCCTTGTCGCGGAGCGCGATGCGCGAGTTCTTCGGCGCCGGAAGTCCATCGTCCTGCGGAGAGTCGACGACCTCCCACCCGTCGTCGGTCGAGCTCGACGCCGGCGGCACGAAGATGACGTGCGAGCGCAGCGCGCCCAGGCTGAAGGGTAGGGTTGCCGCCATGGTGTCGAGGATAATAGCGGTGGTGACGTCTGGCGATCTGGTGATGTTGAGCGAAATCCGCAATGGACACTTTTGCTTCCGTTATTGTTGTTCTACCATTGTGGTAGAGGTACCAGGGCTATCAGGGGGAAGGCAATGTGCTTCTCTGCATGCATCGGTTCCACGGCTAGGGCGGCTTTCAAGACGTGCAGCTATTGTACATGCACTCTACAAGAACCATCTAACTTTGCAAGCTGGGTGTGTGCTGACAGACTGGTGCAGTGCGCTACATAACTTGAGCAGCAGTTCTATCCGAATCGCTCCTTCGCGAGCGCCTTGAACCTGCCGTCAGCTTCAACAGCGAACTTTAAGCTCACATGTCCATCGTCGCTGCCTCTTTCTGACGTCGCTCAGTCATGCGCTCGTCCATGGCGGCCTTGCGTTCAGCAAATTCATCAGCTTTGCGCTCAGCGCGGCGCGCCGCGGCGGCTTCCCTCGCTCGGATACTGGCGTCAGCTAGCGTTCCGCAACCCACATAGCTGCAGGGGTCGCTGCAAGCGCAGGAGGTCGACACTTACGCGGCAGCAAACCCGCCCCCGTCGCCGAGCAGCATAGCCTCGTCGACGACGGCATCAGTGTCCTTCTCGCGCATCTCCTTGTTGGCAGCATTGGCAGCCTTCTTCTCCGCGATGCGACCTTCCTTCCCGCCCATTTTGGGCGCAATCTCCTCAGCGCGCTCGTATGCCTCTCTGCGGGCAACTTTGCGCTCGAACTTGCGTTCCAGGGCTGCTTGCTCGGCGGCCGCTTCCCGAGCATACTGGATATCGGAATGCGTGGGGCGTACTGGGAAGGAAGGTCCGACGGGAGACGGGGGCCGTGGACCAATCTCATCGTCACTTGATTCTTCCTCATGACGCGGGGCGGAGATCGACGCGCCGGAGGGCGGGAAGGGCGGCATTGCATGCGACGGCGGAGGTGGTCTTGAACCCCCGACTTCCGATGAAGGGCCTGAGTTCGACTCGTAGTACTTCCGTGACAGCGCGCCGTCGTTCCACCGTCTCACGAAGCGGCGGAAGTACTTCCTTCCCTCCTCGGAGCTGAGTTCGGAGAGCACAAGCCCTCGCTCGTTAGTCAGCCACGCTCGGAAGGGGCCCGACGTCGTACTGTGTAGTTATCGCTGTCAGCTCAACATAACATAATATCAGAGACAACGTACTAGTAGTCGTCTTCTGAGAGAGATGAGACGCCAAGAGCTCGGAGGTCGAGGAGGGAGGGCGACCGCTCGCGCCGGGATCGATGAGAACGCTCTCGATCGCGGTCGTCGCGATGGGAGCGATGGGACCGGTGATGGTCGCGGTCTCGATCACGGTCTCGACTTCGGTCTCGTTGCCGGGGACTCCGATCGCGATCACCTCGATCGCTGCGGCTATGTCGCCTGTCGTTTGTGGATTGCGAGCTATGCCTTCTCTCGCGGTCCCTGTCGTCGCGATCGCGGTGGCTACTCGAGTGTCGTCGGTTCCGGTCGCTGCGGTCACGGTGCTCCCTATCATTGCGTTCCGATCTAGAGTCCCTCCTCTTTCGGGGGGATCTTGAGCGTGAGCGATCGCCCATGTTGGTTCTGGAATGAGTGGTTGTCTAAAGTGGAGGTCCGTAGTGGAGGTCTTCCGGGTTGACCTCATCTCCCGACTTCTGCAGCGGAGGCTAAAGCAGCGCAACGCATGTTGAACTCCACGTGCGGTCACGTGAACTTTACGTGAACGAATCTGGCTTCATTCCGCTATTGTAGCCTGAGGGAAGAGGGATCGCCAAATTTCGAACCGGATGTCTTCCTCGCGAGCTTCTGGCCACAGCAACATGTGGACTTTGCTTCAAGCTTCTATAAGGATACAACGGAACCGACGTGCGGCCATCTCTGCACAGCAAGAGATAGCGACGCGCACGGACGCGCGCCACCGAAACGAGTGACATGCCGCGCCTTGACCCATGCGCCGCGCGCGACGCGCGAGCATGCGCACCGCTGCGCCACGAAACACACGGTGGCAGCCGTCAGTACCCCGGGCGCAAGCCATGCGCCATGTCGTCATGCCGGGCTTATCTGCCAATAACATCTGGCTTCGTGACAGCTCGCGACGGCTTATCCTGGGCGCAATCGCCGCCATGGGCGCGCCCTTGGTTGCCCGCTGCGCATTCTTGGAATACGCAGCTGACGCAGTTGACGGAGTGCGGAAAGGACGACGGGGAGGACGCAGTCGTCGTCCATCAGGCGACCATAGGCATACTGCGAAGAGACTTCGGCGCTAGGATCTTGACTCTCGAGTTTACAAGTAAACCCGCACACGTGTGTGCGTGTGTGCTGAGTTTCGAGAAGCAGAAGGGCATGCCTGACACGCTTCGCGAGCACTGGCCCGGATCTCCGAGACAGGTTGTGACTCTGCTTCTCGCAGCACTAGTTTGTTGTTCTGCTGGTTCCGATTGCCCGCTCGCTGCGCCGGATAGCGGGCAGTGAACCTACGCCAGCTTCGGAGAGGGGTGCGAGGTGCGCGGTGCGAGAACTAGGAAACGTCGCTCCGCTAGATCTGGACTCGAGAGGATCGAGATCACTCCAGAACTGCTGATCACCGCGACCCTGCAAGTCGTCATTGCTCCGGCGCAGCGTAGAGGTTCGATATCTTCTAGCGTCCGTCTAGTCGTGCTCAGTTTGTTCTATGTATAGTCGGATGAAGCTTTATAAGTTGTGCTCTGCTGCGAGAAACATGAACTACATGACTTTGCTCGATGTCAGCTAGATACGCGTCCAGGTGTGCCGTTATCTGGGTGATTCCTGGAGTCGGGCCGTCAACCTTGACAGGGTGTCACGGAACGCAAAGTACGTCACGGCGACGAGGTGAGGGTGCAGGCCAATCTGGCCTGACTGGCTCGTACGTTCCTACAATCTGAACGCCAGTTGTACCCCAGGCAGATGCACCGTGACATGCGCGACCTCTCATTCGCTGAGCTGCAAGTGTTATGCACGCTCAGCACTGATCATCAGTGTCCGGTGGCGCCTCCAATTCGCGCGAAACTACCCGGCCCCCGTGTAGCGGGCACGCCGGACAGCCGGGCATGCACGCCTGAACGACCTGAACCAGCCGTAACCCTCTGCAGCCCACCTGCACAAGTGCTCGCCGCCCAGCGACCCCACGACTGTCCGCTGGTCGGCTCGTCCGGGGATGCCCAGTACCGTTGTGGGGGTATCGCTCGATATAACTAGCGCGACTCTCAAATTGTGAAAGAAAGAACGCGCCGGTGGGTCGCTTGGCGGGCAGGCACGGGCCGCTACACGCACCGCGGTGCCGAAGAGATCGGGTGGGGAGGAATGCCTGGCATGGTCCGATACAAGCATGCACACTCGGCGGTGTTGCAGTAGTGCAGTAGTGGGGGAGCGACGGAGACGGAGGGGTCGTCGGGGGGTGAGCGGTGCCAGGGTCCGTCTTGTGTTCACCTGCGGGTTTCCCACAAGGGGGAGGGGGGACCCCAGACGGTTGCATTTGTCTAATCAGCGGCACTTTGCTGCCGCCGGCTGGCGAATCACAAGCTCAGCTGGACAACGCCCCGCCTGCAATGGCGCCCTAATCTCAGGGATACCGCTGTGAGTTACCGCACTGACGTAGTGGTCTCATGCCCCCCCCCCCTTGTGCTCTCGTGCTCTCCCACCCCGTGTGCCTGGGGAGGGGGGTCTGGACGAGCATGACCAGGCTGCACCTCGGACTCGGGATGGCGAGCCAACTCAGATACCTAGTACCTAGCCGACGCTGCGTCGCTGCGTCTGTCCTCGTGCCAAGCGGACAAGCTGCCCCTTCGAGGTCACAACCCCCTCCCCCAGCACACCTCTCTTCTTTTCTCCCACCACTTATCTCCACTTCCACTTCTCCTTCCTCTCATTCTCTTCTCACTCCACCCCCAGCTGTCCCACACCTCAAGCAGCGATCACCACCATGGCCACTGCTGCCTCCAACAAGAACCACCCCAGCGCCAAGGCGCCCGCGAAGACCGTCGTATGTCTTCCTCACTTTGCCGAGCTCCACGGATATGCTGACCACCTCCACAGCTCAATCTCGGCAACCTGCCTCCCAGGCAGAAGCCTAACGAGATGAGGGCGGAGCGCGCTGTGAGTACTCACGCCGTCACCAGTGATGGCGATCATGCACATTCCGAGTCCAAGCTGACAGGATCAGCAATTCCCTAGGACCCCCACTAAGGTCAACCCTAGTGAGTAACCATCACACAACGGGCACGACGGAATGTCTGGAGACGCCGAGGATACATTGAGCATGACTAACAGGCAGACCAGCCCCCTTGGCCCGCTTACCGTGGCTACCACGAGTACTCGTTCGCCCACGTGAGTAACACCGGAGCTGCGGCCCTGCGGTGCCGACGGCACAGATCGCTTGGCAGCTGTAGCTGTGAGGAATGAGCTGACGATCAGGCTACCATGGGTGTCCGTCTCCCCACCATTCTCGCCAAGGCCATCAACGACGTCTACGAGACGCTGAACCAGATCGTGAGACTCGGAACGCTGGCTGACGTAGCCGGTGGATCGTGCGTTAGCTGATGATCGCAGTATGAGAAGGAGAAGATTGTCGATCTCCTCGACTGTGTCCACAAGATGGAGCACCTCAAGGAGGACCTTGAGGAGAACCGACAGCTCCGTCCCATCATTGACGACGGCGCCGGAGACGTTACCCTCTGGAACAAGGTGAGCAATTAGCTCTATGCGCCCCTATCACTGTCGGCGGCGCCAGCCAGATAAGGAAAGAATGAGTGCTGACGCCCGTGCGCAGGAGATCGCCAAGTACTTCCGCGGCAAGGACTTCATGAACGCTCCCTGGCTCTTCGCCGAGGCGTACAAGTACCGTCGTCTCAGGGAGTGCTTCTCGCTCTCGCGCTACTGGGTTGACTACGATGTCTTCTTCCGCCAGAAGTGCGACACCTTTGCCCGTTCAGACTCGGCCGTATTCGAGCTCGCGATGCGTTTCGCGGAGCCCACCAAGGACCTGACGCCGGAGAAGAACAAGCTCATGTTCCTCGAGCTTGCTTAGATCTGTCTGTGGGGTAACTCGACCGACCTGTCACTCCTGATCGACATGACCGAGGAGGACATTAAGGCACTCCAATCCACCGGAGGCGACCACCTTGCTGCCACGGAGAAGAACATCCTCGGAAACGACCTCCACGCCCTCGCCGACTACGTCCTCTCGCTCAAGGGCGGCCGCATCGACTTCATCCTCGACAATGCCGGTTTCGAGCTGTACTGTGACTTGGTCTTTGCCGACTGGCTCATCCAGGCCGGTATCTGCAAGGAGGTCAAGTTCCACGGCAAGCGCATTCCCTGGTTCGTCTCGGATGTTACCAAGAAGGACTGGAACTGGTGAGTCGACCACGAGCTGATAAGCGATCATCCAAGCTGACACCCCAGGCTCATTAACGTTATGGTGTATGGCAACCTGTTCCCTGAGGCGTCGCAGGAGGAGATGGACTCGCTGCGACAGATGGGCCGCCGCTGGCAGAAGTACTCTGAGTCGGGCGTTTGGTCCTACGAGGAGCACCCCTTCTGGATCACCGGCTACACCTTCTGGCACCTGCCGTCCGAGGCTCCCGACCTGTTCCAGCACCTGCAGGGCTCTGACCTCTGCATTTACAAGGGTGACCTCAACCACCGCAAGCTCACGTACGACTGCCACGCGCCGATGGACACGCCGTTCGCGCAGGCGATCGGTCCTTTGGGATCGGAGGAGGGTGCCCCGCCTGTCTGCTCGTTCCGAACGATCAAGTCGGACGTCGTCGTCGGCATCCCCTCGGGTGTCGGCGAGAAGCTCGACGAGGAGGAGCCCGGATGGAAGATCTCGGGCAAGTACGCCGTCATCCTGCTCTCGCCTGGCAACCCCGGCCCGAAGAACCAGATCCCTGTTCCCGCCTAAATGTAGTAGTTCTCCGTAATAACTGGTCTTGTTTCATATTTCGTCTATCTCAACAGCAAGCAAAAACAAAGCGGAGCAGAGTCCGCAAGGCGCATGTATCTATACGTCTTTCACACCTCGGGAACCGCAATTCGCACGGCCGTCGTCGTCGTCGCTCGGTGGAGCTAGTTACAGAGCGTCAGGTGATCACCAGCTCAGGCCCAGGACCCGTGGCAGACAGCGCGAGGCAGGGCAGGTGACCCGACTCTCACTTTGGGCACCTTGAAGTGGAGGCCCCCACCCTTCCAACAGTGTACCTCGTCCCTCTCCGGACGTTCCAGGCGCCGATATCAGCCTGTCCGACTCCAGCAGGTCCTCTCAGTTAAAGGTATGAACGCGCTTAGCGCTCAGCTGAGGACACATCTAGCAGACCGATTGATTGACAAAAGCAAAGTGTAACATTTCAACAACAGGTTATACAATATGATGGGTCGTTGCGTAAGTCTACAAGATGAATGCACAGTCTCCCCCGCCCTAGCGAACGCGCATGCTCTCTCCAGCCCTAAATAGTGGCCAAGATGAGTTCCGCCTGCCGGGCAATCTCGGCCCTCTCGGCCGCCTTGCGCACTTCCTCCTCGAGCTCCCTCGCCTCCTCCTGCTGCCTCCTCTCCTCCTCCTCTGCGACGCGCTGCGCCTCGATCGCGCTCTGGATCGACGCCTCCATCAGCAACGTGTCCTCTGCCTGGGCCTGGGCGGCGGCAGCGGCCTCGGCAGCCGCGGCAGCCTCGGCCTCCTCGCGCGCCTGCTGCTCCTTGGCGGCCTGCAGCGCCAGCTCCATCGCGATGGCCTGCTGCGCCTGGTCCTCTGCCTCGCGGATACCTTCGCGCACGACCCAGTCGACGGACCGCGCCAACATGTCAATACGTTGTGCGTTCAGACATCCTAACGAGAAACACCCGTCGGGCAGCAGGTGGATGTGCCGCTTTGACGTCAGCGCCTCAGTCTGGCCCTGCGGAATCAGGAGCGTGCAGTACATCCCCGACGCGCGCTTCAGGTAGCCCCAGTTGCCCGGCGTCTTGAGCTTGTTCACGAGCACGTCGTGCAGTTTCTCGCGTACGCTGCGCAGGCGGTCGCTCATCGCGCGGATCTCGTTCAGCCACGCAGGGTACAGCTTCTTGTCGCTTAGGATCGTGTGCGCCAGCTGCGCGCCCCAGGCTGGCGGGTGGAAGTACATCGCGCGCGCAGTTGCGCGGAGCTGCGACGCGACGCGGTCCCTGTCCTCGGTCGTCGGTGTGGGGATGGACACGACGGCGGGACTGTCAGAGTACAGGCCCATCATGGCGTCGAAGCTCTGCACGAGCACGACGGGCACGTTCTCGTGCACCATGAAGCGCAGCGGTTGCGCGTCGCGGTTCACGTCCCCGCTTGACAGGCCCTGGAACGCCATCACGACGACGGGAATCAGCTGCCGCTCCTGCAGCAGCGAGGTGACCATGCGCCACTGTGGGGCCGTGAACTCGGCGCCCGTAGGGACCGAGCCAGACACGAAGAGCAGCACGGCAGATCGCGGCGGCGCAGCCTGTAAGTCGTCTCGCATCCCGTCCCAGTCCACCATGCCGTGCTTCTGGTCCAGGTACCGGAACACCTTGATGTCGAGGCCGCCGTCCTTCAAGGCCGCAATGTCCTCGTCGCTCGTCGGGTTCGGGATGTAGATCGACCGTTGCCCTGTCGGCGCCGGGAAGCGGGAGAGGAACGTGGAGGCAAGGCGCAGTGCACCCGTAATAGACATGGCCTGAATCGACGCGACGCGCTTGTGCTTGATGACGGGGCTGTCCTCGCCGTACGCAAACTTGGTCGCCGAGTCGAGGAACGGCGCATATCCCTCGATCGGGAGCGAGTCCTGCAGGAAGCCAGTCTCCTCACGCATCTTCTTCTCGGCGTACTTGACTGTCGGTGGCAAGAACACCTTGCCGTTGTCCTCGCGGAAACCCATCAGGGACAAGTTCACCTTGACTGGCGCGTTGTCTTCGATGTACGATGTCTGGATCTGCACCGAGTGCTCGGCCGGCGCGGACGGCACGCTCGACCACAGATCACGGAGCTCCGCGTTCCCGCTGCTGCTGTTGCCGTTCGTGAACGAAGGCGGCCGGCCCATACTCGCCGCCGACAGCTGCTGCAAGACGTCCAACAGCAGGCTGCTCTGAGCGTCCTGCGTCATGCCACCGATACCGATGCCGGAGCTGGCGTTCGTCAACTGCGCAAGCGCGTGGACAGCCTCGGGTTGTCCCTGGTTGGCAGCTCGAGTCGCATGCATAATCGTCTCCATGGCGGCGTTCGAAGCGGCGTCGGGGTCCATGTTCGATCCGGAGCGAATGAGCGACTCCAGAGCTTGGACTCGCAAACCAAGCTCGTAGTTCAGAGGAACGTCCTCATTCATCCTGACGGTTAGCTAGAGCAAGAAGTGGAGAAGCTCACTTCTTCCGTTTCCGTTGCGGCATCGGGGGCGCCTCCATGCGGCACATACTGGGCACACCTCGCTTGATGCACCGGCTACATGGGATGTTGCGGTCACAATGTTCTGAGCTGTCAGTTCACCTGATTCTTCCAAAACTTACGTTTCCGCCTATGACACTCGGTACAGCTGAGCACTGTCCTGTTTCGCCGACGCTTCAGCTTGCCATCCTCGTAGTATGTTCGCGGGTCGCTGCTGATGTCGGTCCGTGGTGTGTGGACCTCCGTGATAGTATCGCGGACCGATACCGGTTCCGTCGGGACAGTAGAAACCGGGGTCGCAGCGCGAGAGTGGTCTTCCTCTTCCTCCTCTTCTCGCTCGGCAGTACCAAGGTTGTCGACGAACTCCTGGACCTGCTCGCTGGTGAGCGTCGACGGCTGCGGAATCATGAGACTCGAGTAGTCATGATCGGCGTCGTCCGCAACGTGCCCCTCCTCGGCGTGCATGACACCATCGGCATCCTCATCGTCGTGACCTATACGACTAAGAGCAGCGAGGTTGGCAAGCGTATCGGGGTCGAACTGTGGGGTAGCATGGTCGAGTTCATCGTCGCCCGGTGGCAAGTCGCTTAAAGCAGCCGCTAAGCTCAGGCCCGCATCCAAGTCGGCCGCACTGAGCTCCTGGTCGTGCGGGTCCTCGCCATGGCCTGCAGTGCCGTTCTCAGCCGCCGATGCGGCAGCGGCTTCTCGCAGGACACGGTGTAACTCTTCGTCCTCATTGTGGGTGGTGGGGTCCTCGGGGTGGACCGGCCGTTCAGAGGAATCGCCAGAACCGGCGTTGTCGCTCATAGTGCTAAAGTCCGAAAATGAGGTTCTGAGACGATTTTGATATCATCCGAGAGCCCCGGTATCACTCTTGCGCACTGGGCAAGAATCGCGGGGTCGTTATCGAGTCGTCTCGGCGCTGTGTGTCGTTGAAGGTCGAACTTGGGTGCGATTATTGGGTTCCAGACGCGATGTTGGTGGCGTTCAATTTTGGGTAACGGGGCGGGTAGAATAAAGTCGCCCCCAACGACAAGTGGCCGAGGTCACCTTATCTCGTCCTCCCTTGTAGTAGACCAGAGTTAGTAACCGGAGATGGCCTTGTTCGGTTACCATGGACGTCATCCGAGTGGTGGGGAACGCATTGACAAGCTACTCTCGCTCATGCTCCTTCGCTCCGTCCTTGCTTGTTCTCGCTCGATCCCCAGGCTGCAGTCATCAGCCTTTGTGTCTAACACTCTCCGTTCGTTCCCCTCTGTTTACTCCCGCGCGATGAGCACAAAGTCCGAGTGCCCTGTCACGGACCCGGCGTCGGTCCCCAACCCTCTTGGCGATGGGAAATACATCAAGTGAGACACCACAATTTGGATGAGGCGTTTTCTGATGCATTCATCACTGACGCCAGGACGGCCGGATGTCTGATCATTGGAGACGAGGTGTTGAACGGCAAGACGAAGGACACGAACAGCAAGTGAGCTCCTCACACGACATTGCGTCATGTGGACTTGTGCTGATATCCAGTTTCTTCGCGCAGTTCTGCTTCGATCTCGGCATTGATCTGTAAGCTGCATTCAGTGGAACTCCAACTGACCTTCAGTAAGAGAATCGAAGTCATTGCAGACGACGAAGACGAAATGTAAGTTGCCCTAGTCAGGTGGAGCTTATGTCAGTATCGAAGCTGCTCGTCGCATGACGAAGAGCTATGACTTTGTTGTGACCTCTGGTGGCATCGGTCCCACGCACGACGACATTACGTACGAGTCACTGGGCAAGGCGTTCGGACTCCCGCTCGAGCACGATGTGGAGACGATGCGGCGCATGGCAGCGCTCACGACCGAGAAACGTCGGCTAGAGCTCGAGGCTGCGTCGCCTGAGGAGCGTGAGGCGCGCAACCGCATGGCTCTGTTCCCGCTCGCGAAGGGCGGGCACGGAAGTGACGGACAAGGTGGCGCGCGCAGCGAGCTCCTCTTTGTTTCGGAGGACAAGTGGGTCCCCGTTCTCCGCCTCGGTGGAAAGGTAAGTCCTTACGAGCTGTGATAGTCTGACCTCTCAGCTCTGCGTCTTCCCAGGCATTCCGAGCTTGTTCCAGCAGCTCCTCCTCGGCCTCGTGCCGTATCTGCCCCTCCCGCCTGCTTCGTCGAAGCCGTTCCGCCATCTCATCTTCACCAAGTAAGCCGAGGAGGTTAGACTGGAGCTGACGTTCAGCCAACCTGAGTCGAAGATTGCACCTTACCTCACGGAGCTTCAGAAGCGCGTCAAGGACGAGGGCATCCGTGTTGGATCTTGTGAGTTTTGCACGGCTTGAATCAACTGACAACAGACCCGTTCTTGTACAAGGGTGTGCACGTGAGCCTGATCGGCCATGACGTTGAGCGTGTCAAGGAGCTTGGCCGCGAAATCGCCGAGAAGCTGGACGGCGAGGTTATCTCTGAGGGTCAACTTGGAGACGAGTCTGCCAAGGCCAAGCCGTCTCTGTGATTGTCATGTAGATCAGCGATTAAAACAGATAGATGTATTTTCTTGACGCGCCAGCTTTAAGGGCACCAGGACTGATGGTTTTGTCCTCCTCTCCCCGTTCACTCCCATCTCCCGCTGCCTGCTTCAATCACAGCCCGCTCTCATGCACGATCATTTCCTCAACAGCATGTGACATCCCATATCCCGCAACGATCAGTGGTCCGTGTGATCTGGCAGTCATGCATCCCACCGCCGCAATGTACAATGAGTCCGAGAAAAAACCAGCTTTGTGGGTTGGTAGTTTACTCCTCGTCCTCCTCGGCGTCGTCACCGCCGGCACCCTCGGCGGCCTTGGCGCGCTTGCGCTTAACACGGCCGGGGCGGCCACCGCCGTAGGGCGACTTGAGGGAGAAGTCAATGTGCTTCTGCGAGTCGAGACGGACGACGAACGAGGGGACGTTGACGACCTGCTTGCCGACGCGGATGTGGCGCTGGCGGATGAGGACACGGGCGTGGTGGACAGACTTGGCGAGGCCGAGCTTGAAGACCTGGGTCTGGAGACGGCGCTCAAGGAAGTCCTCGGTCTTGAGGGCAAGGACGTAGTCGAGACGCATGCGGGTGTCGTCAAGGACACCAATGCGGACGAGACGACGGATAAGAGCGTTGCCCTCGAAGAGACGCTTGGGGTCCTTCTCGTCGAGCTTCAGGAGGTCACGAGCAGCACGACGGATCTTGGAGAGGGTGAGCTGAATGCGCCAGATCTCGCGCTTGTTGCGGAGACCGTACTCGCCGGCGAGCTGTATGTTAGCACTTCGTCTCTCGGTGATTGCGCGATTTCTGGAGCAAGTTTTCGAGAAGTTCTGGTCGTCGAGGAACAGCGTAAACGATATCGGAGAGGTCGCAAAATCGGTCGTCTCGTTGTTCCTGCCACGCCAAATTTTCCAACATTGATCCTGTCTGACTTCATCTGCCGACAATCGTCCAACCAAATATTCCAAGTTCTCCAGCCATCGGGCAGTGCGTTCTCCGTCATATGCGGTCGCAGTCGATCCGACGCCGCCGCTAGCAAAGCTAAACCGGCAGTGACATGTCGAAACACGGGTCGTACCCCGCCAACTTCCATCCTCCGATTCGTCCGACCAGAACTTCTCTTGATCCGTCCATCGGTATTCTGCTCACCTTGAGCTCGGCGTCGAGTCTGGCGGCCTCGTACGGACGCTTGGCTTGTCAGCAACGTCTCTTGCGCGTCGTAATGAGGAGTTCCGTTGTTGTGAGGCGGCCGACGGACCGTTTGAGCGCCGGGAAAAGCCCAGATAGTCCTCGGAAACTCCAAATTTCGTCGGTACGCACCTTGGGGACCTTGTACGTCTTCGACTGCTTCCTAGGGGCGGCCGTCATATTGGACTGCTGTTTTTGAGGGTTGGAAAGAGACAAGTCGGACTGTAGATGAGTAGAAGTGTGCAGCGAGCGGACGGGGTGGGAGGCTGCCAGGCAGGGGAGGGTGCCAACCTACACGCGGAACCAAAATTCACTAAACGACAAGTCACGTGCTATCTAAGGCACTCCAGTTTTGGCTCGTCGGATCCACGAGATGCTGATGCTTAACTCCGACATTTGCGATGCATAGCTCCGACATCTCCACTTGACGATATTGACAATGCGACTTCGGTCTCTTCTGACTTATCGTGACCTATCCGACCGACCTCCAACTGCCACATGAACGATAGCCCTCAGCGCTAGCCGCCACGGACTGGGGCGCACAGGAACCTGCGCTAGCGCGCCAATGTGCGACATGACCAGTCCGCTCACCCAGCGACCCGTCCAGCTCACCTGGGGCGTCGTGCACACCGTCAGGGCCGCCTCGTGGACTGTGTCTCGTCAGCGGCAAAGCTCTCACCCAGGCTGTCGGACCGGGCAGTGCTAGCGGCGATCCTTTGCTGTCCTTGCCAACCGGGCGCGGTCACTGGGGGCTGCGCATGTGACACTTCTTTCCTTGTGCATTGCACATCACGTTGCTGCTTCCTTCACATCTCCCTCATCGACATATCTCTTTTTCAGCGGACAATGTTTCCCTCCCTCCCTGACATGACTGACTGCGCCTCTGGCTCATTCCTGTTCAGAATCATGCTTTCACTCACTCATACTGCATCTGGACTCATCAATTCTTGCTAACCAATCCGACTCCCGCCGACAGAACACCTTCCTCGTTGTTTTCCCCGGCCTCAGAATACAAGACAGGCTGCCGCTGCCCACATAGCCGCCCCGCTTCAGCAAAGAGATGGTCAACCTTCCCCAACCGCTCTTTCGACCTCCTTTCCCCCAGGGCTTCGACGAGCCTTGCAATGACCCCTTCGCTACTTCCCGAATAATCGCCAAGACTGTCCTCCCATTATCTGATCTGCCGGCGCCATCTCGGGTCCAAGTGCCCCAGCAGCAATGTGGGTGGCGAAGCGCGCGCGTGAGCAACGCCTCGTGTACAACGCCGAAAATCAAACCCGTTGGG